ACGGTGCTTCCGGCTTGCTAAACTGAACATTTTCATACCTGACCTAGAATCACCTCAGTGTAATTTTCCACATCCACCGTTCTCAAAAATGTTCTCTAATGTCAATGATTCCATGTTCTGGTCTATCATGAATCTACGCACGATATTGACAATAGGTTCTTATGACCATAGTTTACTCAAAACCTCTTTATTTTTTGTCCTTCTAGATTCACATCCTCCTCTTAGTTTTCTAATTTGTTGTTTGGGGTCTGCCCCCTCATTCTTCTGTGTTCAACTTCCAGGCCAAGTTTTTTTTTTCCTTTCTTTTTGTCTGACTTACTCTCGTTATAAGACTAGATGCTTCTAGCAAACTGTTGTATCGATACAACCCATGCTTTTGTCTATGTTTATGTTTTTCAATGCTCAATAAATCTTTATTAGAAAAATGAAAAAAAAAAAAGAAAAGATGGCGTATCAATGCTTTTTTTGGGAGATTGAAGTGTGCTGGCCTTGGTTTCTTCAGTCCTCATCTCATTTTATAGGTGTTTGGTGGTGAGCGTCCATACTTCTTGCATTAACATTTGGTATGGTAACTGCTCTGTTGCAGATAAACAGGTACTTTACACTGCAAAAGGATAACTGCATTAATACACCATGAGTCAGTTTGTTATTGTTTCTTTATTTAGGACATTACAGCAAGTACATTCACAAGGAAAACAGAGGAGTTTCTCAGGTGCAGCTGAGGAGTATCTATACCAGCCATTCTCAACATTTTTAATCCCAGAGGAACCCTTTAAATAGTGTGCCTTTCTCATATCAGGGAACCCCTGCTAAAAATGACTAGATCTACATCTCATGGTACGTTGGTGTGATGGTCAGTGGGAAGAATGCTCCTTTACACTTGCGATCTTTGGAAAGAATTTGGGACCCCTTTACAGATAACTAAAAAGATCAATGGTGTCAGTGGGAACTTATCTGAGAAGAAATTGTTCATTGGTCAAGAAACCCCTAGCAACCTCTGGGGGAACCCTAGGGTTCCATGGACCCCTGGTTGTGAAACCATGATCTATTGAGTGTTGGTAAACAGGCCTAAGACAGGAAATACAAATGCACTGGGTGTTACGTACAGTATATATTCTTTGGACATTTCTGAAATGAATTTGCTGGTCATTTGCAGGATCAGCAACCGTGCAATATACTATATAACCTAGAAACCTGCCCATACCTCTGGCTTCTGCCATGAATATTTTTAAAAACAGCAAGTGTAGGAAGATTTCTCAATATTTTGTGGGACTCTTCCCATTCTGTTTAAACACTGAGCTGAGGAACAGGTTTTTCCTGATACTGTGAGGTTGACATATTTTCGCACCTCCCTGAATTATTGCTGCTGCTATTATCAATATTATTATTTTTCTGGGTATCGGTGAAATTTTGAGATTGATAATAAATGATAATACTGCGTTTTATGATTGATAATATTGCAATCTTATTGAACATCCTGCTGCTTTTTATATGTAGTTGTTGCTCACATTCAACAAATTAGAGAAATTTCATATTATTATTATAATTATTTATCTTTCACACTTTTATCTTTATTATGTTTACATATTTATTTATATATATATATATATATATAGTATATATATACAGTATTTGTTTTTCTTACCTTTATCATTATTTTCGGTCTTTTCGTGATTAACATGTTTTTGGAATATATATAGTGTACATATAACTTCAGATGCACAGCAATGCACAGCAATATTAAGTTCCATGCACGCTGGGTGTTTTTAATAACGCTGGTAACGTTAGCTGTATAAAGTCACTTTAAAAACATGAGTTTTTCAGCGTTTTGTATTAGCATTTTTGCATTAGCGTTTAGCAGCGTTTTGCTGTTTTTTTTTTTGCATTTTTTGCTCACAAAAAGTCCAAGAACGCTGGTTTGCAGCGATTTACAGCATTCTACTGCGTTTTGCCGCGTTTTTCAACATTAGAGCGTTTTTACAGCTAAAAAACTCCTCTAGAAACCCACTAGTTCTGCGTTTTTTCTCCAACTAAAAAACGCCCCCTGTCAAACAACATTGATTACAGTCATGGACATATGGGGAGTTTACTGGCTAAAGAGAAAAACATCAGAAGAAAAAGCAGCTGTAAAACCATCCAAAATGTCACCCTAGGGAAATGCTTTGTTTGCCTTGTGGTAAATACGCCCCTGCTCTTGGTCTCCTTTTGCTTTCCAGCAAATATAAAGTGCCAGCTTGGCTGTACATGCTTCTGATTTTGAGACACCACATCTCACAGAACCCAAGTTCTGCGTCTCTTTCACTACTTCCTTGGTTCTCTTACTCAGGGTCTCCCACTCAGAGCTGGAGCAAGAAAGGGGCAGTGGAGGTGGTGCCTCACTCTGACAGACAAGAGTGACTGCAGTGTCACTCCTGTCAGCAGGTTTTTTTTTTGTGTCCGGAGAGCGGTGGTACTCTGTTCTGCCACCTCCAGCACTAATCCTCTGCTCCCCACTGGCCACTTTCACTTGCTAGGAGGTGTGGGGATCTCTGTGTATTGGGGGGGCTAGGGGGTGGGGGGATCTCTGTGTATTGGGGGGGCTAGGAGGTGGGGGGAATTCTGTGTATTGGGGGGGCTAGGAGTTGGGGGGAGCTAATTAATATGTATTTGGTCTAAAATATATTTATATTTTTTTAAGTTTTATGATTTGTGTTTTTGTTTTCAATTTGCATTGTTTAGGGTATTTTGAAATAAATATTATTGCATTGTGCTGAATGATAGATTTACATTCTTCGTCAATAAGGGTGAACTATCCTGAGATGTTTCCTAGATTCAAGTGTTTGTGATTACACTTACATTTTTTTTCAGTGTTTTTTAACCTGAGGAAGGGCAGATCTTTCCTGAAAGCTTGTACTTGCATGAAACGCTGTTTTTTATTTTGTGGAATAAATTTGCAGAGTACTGTTAGATTTACTTTAGTTATTAAAGCGGAGTTCCAGTTGCACTGTGAAAAAATAAAAGTCAGCAGCTACAAAAACTGTAGCTGCTGACTTTTTAAAAAAACAGCCTCTCACCTGTCCCACGATCCTGCTGTGTCCTCCCCACAGCCCGTTTCAGCAGCTGTCTGGTGTTCCAAGTGCTGGCATCTTCAGTGTGGGCACCCGGCTGTGACAGCTTGAGGCTTCACAGCCGGATGCCCACTGTGCTTCCTGAATGGCCCCGTCATTTTCTGGGACCTGTCACGTGTCCCAAAAGACTACAGGGAGGGAGGAGGGGAGGACAACTTCTGCTTCTGATTGCCTAGGCAATCGCAGCGGAAGTGGGAAAGGGTACCTGTCAATTTCGGGTACCCACTCCCCCCCCTCCTCCCCAAAGGTGCCAATCGTTAATGGGGAGTGAGGGACCAGTCTTTAAAGTGGAACTTCCCCTTTTGGGTGGAGCTCCGTTTTAATAATGAGTTTGTTATAGATAGTTATTAATAATGATTGTGCTACAGGGTTTAAGTGAAAGATTTGCATTTTGTGGTGGTTAACTTTAACTGACACTAAATGATATCCTTATTCTCCTAATATAATCAATACACATCCACTACTTAAAGTATTACTAAACCCCAGACCCTGCATTCACTTTATCTGGTCTCCCACAGTACACAGAACATGGAAATGCAATTATTTTAGTAAATATAAACTGCTAAATACCTTTTCTCATCAGCAGTTAGAGCAGTCTTGTGACTTCTATCATTATCCGGCCAAGCACTGGTTAAAGCTTGTAGGAGGAGCTTTCATTCTCCCCTGAGTGTCCTATGAGGCTGCAGGACCCCTGACCCTCTGTCTGGAAAGTGCTGATTGGCCCTCTGCTGATCACATGCACTGTCCCAAGAAAAAAAAAAACTCTCTAGCAATACACACCAAACTGAGCATGTGCAGCTTGCCCCCAAGGCTCCATTCTATCTATCAGGAGATGGATTGGGGACAGTGAGAGAAGGAGGATTAACCCCTTAGGTTCCACAGTGAGTATAACAAGCATGTTTTACTGCATATACAGACTGATTTTACTGTTGTGGGTTTGGTAACACTTTAATGTGGAACTTTAGGGCAAAATTGAACATGGGCAAACAGGCAGGAATTTTACTGCAGAATACTTTGTCTCTTCTGCATTAAGGTTACTTACCTGCCTGTCCACCCCCGTACAGTGAGCCACACACATTCTGCTCACGGCACAAATTTGGTAATGCCAAATCTGACTGAACCCCTGCGCATGCGTGGGAGTGACATTATCCCCACCTAGTCAATGAAATCAAGATCTGGAAGCCAGCCACCCAAAGATATCAGCATGTGGGCCGGGAGCTCGGGAACTCCGCATCACTGGAGCCAAGGTGAGGATAGTTCAATGGCCCTTTTGTCTGCTTGTTTCTTACTGTGTTTTTTCGGTCTCCTTGAGCTCCAGAACCTCATTTTCCCTCTCACTTCCATTTGTTTGGAACAAGCAGTGCACATTAATTGCGGTCATATGTACTGCTCTAAGTACAGAACACACTACAAATCTCATAGTCTATAGTCTAACTCAGAACCACGTAAGAGAGGGTGGCTACGTTCCTACATACAGTGGGACCATGGAGAACAAATGCAGCCATCCTCTAACAGGAAAATGGATCACAGCAGCAAACAAAAAGAGATGGAGATTTGGAGGAGGCTAAGAGCAATAGAAGGTACTTATTCATTCTTGCATTGATTAACCACTTGCCAATGATGGCTACAGCGTGGTTGTCCAGTTCTGGGAGGATGTCATATGACTGTGTGACCCCAGCAGTGCACACCCGGCGCTCTGTATGATCACGGACACAGTGGATCACATGATGAGGTAAAAGGCCAATCACAGCGGCCTTTTACCATGTGATTAGCTGTGTCCAATGACACAGCAGATCAAAATATAAATACAGTTGTCAGTTATTGGTTGCACTTTCCTCACGCTGTCACAGAGTGAAGAAAGTACCGCCGATAACCAACAAATGACACAGAGGACATCTGCACTGGTCAGCAGTGCCCTGATGATCAGTGCCCAGCAGTGCCACCCATCAGTGCCCATCAGTGCCTCCCATGAGTGCCCAGCAGTGCCGCCCAACAGTTGCACTCATCAGTGCTGCCCAGCAGTGCCACCAGTCAGTGCCATCAGTCAGTGTCGCCAGTCAGTGCTGTCAGTCAGTGCCCAACAGTGCCGCCTATCAGTGCAGCAGAATCAGTGCCTCCTCATCAATGCCCACCAGTGTTGCCTCATCAGTGCCACCTCATCAGTGCAGCCTATCAGTGCCCATCATTGATGCCTATCCATGCCACCTCATCAGTGCCCATCAGTGCTGCCTATCAGTGCAGCCTCATCAACACACATCAGTGATGGAGAAAAATTACCTGTTTACAAAATGTTATAATAGAAACAAAGAAAAGCTTTTTTTTAATTTTGCTATTTTTTTGTTTATAGTGCAAAAAAAAAAACACCCAGCGGCAATTAAATACCACCAAAAGAAAGCTCTATTTGTGTGAAAAAAAATGATAACAATTTCATATAGGTACAGTGTTGCATGACCGTGCAATTGTCATTCAAAGTGCGACAGCGTTGAAAGCTGAAAATTGGCCTTGGTATAAGTGCCCAGTAGGCAAGTGGTTAAACCAGAGTTTAGTTTCACATCAAAGAGAAAATAAAATTCATGAAGAAGCAAAATGTTAATGTAACTGTTACTAATCAGGAATGAAGGATTTCATTTTGCATAAAAATGATGATGTTAATGTGCAATACTAGACAAGAACCAAGCGAAAGCAGAAAGCTGGAGTCACCTACTGGTGACATGTGGAATTACACTGTCTGTAAGAAGATTAATTAAAGGGCATTTGCAGTTTCGAAGAGCCAATAATGTTTCTTTCCTTGTTGTGAAATAGAAGTAGAATTATTATTAGAATTATTTGTATCTAAACCAATCATATTATCATTTTAGAAAAACTGCAACCCTTGTGAGACAGCTTTTATAGTATTGTCATGCCTCTGCTTACCATATATGCAGGGATTTGAATGTCTGTTCCTGTGTATGTGGCCACTCCTTTTTGATGTCAGCCATCCAGGAATTCATAGATTGTCTGTACAAAGTGCAGGACAGCTGAGACTGGCCATAAAATCTGCGTAACAATAAAATAATACACGTTCTACACAAAGAAATCATTTTTTTCTGCCTATGAATGGAAGACAACCAAAGCATACCTTTCATTTTAATCTGATGGAAAAACAAGGCATTGTTTGTGTGGTATTTTCATACACAAATGATATTTATTAAAAGTAAAAAGAAATTAAAAATATACTTTGTGGTGATGTGTTTTCAGCTGGCTATAGATGGATCGAATCTTGGCTGGTTCAGCAGGGACCAGGGGCGGACTGACCATTTGGAAACTTGGGCACTGCCCGAGGGCCCGGGGTCAGAAGGGGGCCCCATGAGATGCCCCTGGTACCTTTTTCATAGGCTTTTTTGGGGTGTGTGTTTGAGTGTGGGCAAGGACGCAAGGGCCCCATGGTCCCCTATTGCCCGGGGGGCCCATGAGTTGTCAGTCCGCCCCTGGCAGGGACTGCCTGAGATTCGATCCATTTATGGGCAGGCTGGTTGTACTGAAGTCGATCCATCAATTGATTTCAGTACAATCACCCTGTAAGATTTTGTTTTTCATGCAATCACTGCTGGTAACTATAGCTGCCAGCAGTGATCATTGTGTTCTGTCAGCTACCACTGCTGTCTCTCAGCTACTAAGGAGGGTGAGAGCTGCTGCACATCGCTGGACCACGATCGGGCTCAGGTAAGTATAAGAGGGGGGAGCTGCCTGCAGAGAATGCATTAAGGTAAAAAATCTTCAGCCTTTAGAACCACTTCAAATATGAATGTGTCTACCCGTATTTGCAATTATAGCTATATTTGGGGCAGCACAGTGGCTAAATGGTTAGCACTTCCATCTGGCAGTACTAGGGTCATTGGTTCAAATCCCAACCTCAGCACCACCTGCCTGGAGCTTTCATGTTCTCCCGGTGACTGCATGGGTTTCCTCCAGGAGCTCCAGCTTTCTCTCACACTCCAAAGACATGCTGGTAGACTAATTGGATCCTGTCTAAATTGGCCCTAGTATGTGTATGTATGAATGTGAGTTAGGTGTGGTAGGTGCCCTAGTATGTGTATGTATAAATGTGAGTTAGGTGTGGTAGGTGCCCTAGTATGTGTATGTATGCATGTGAGTTAGGTGTGGTAGGTGCCCTAGTATGTGTATGTATGCATGTACTTATGTATGAATGTGAGTTAGGTGTGTTAGTTGCCCTAGTATGTGTATGTATGAATGTGAGTTAGGTGTGGTAGGTGCCCTAGTATGTGTATGTATGCATGTACTTATGTATGAATGAATGAGTTAGGCGTGTTAGGTGCCCTAGTATATGTGTATGTATGAATGTGGTTAGGCGTGTTAGGTGCCCTAGTATGTGTGTATGTATGAATGTGAGTTAGGCGTGTTAGTTGCCCTAGTATGTGTATGTATGAATGTGAGTTAGGCGTGTTAGGTGCCCTAGTATGTATGTGTACGTGCCCTAGTATGTGTGTATGTATGAATGTGAGTTAGGCGTGTTAGTTGCCCTAGTATGTATGTGTATGTGTATGTATGTATGAATGTGAGTTAGGCGTGTTAGTTGCCCTAGTATGTGTATGTATGAATGTGAGTTAGGCATGTTAGGTGCCCTAGTATGTATGTGTATGCATGAATGTGAGTTAGGCTTGTTAGGTGCCCTAGTATGTATGTGTATGTATGAATGTGCGTTAGGTGTGTTAGGTGCCCTAGTATGTATGTGTATGTGTGAATGTGAGTTAGGCTTGTTAGGTGCCCTAGTATGTGTATGTATGAATGTGACTTAGGCGTGTTAGTTGCCCTAGTATGTGTATGTATGAATGTGAGTTAGGCGTGTTAGTTGCCTTATTATGTGTATGTATGAATGTGAGTTAGGCGCAGGGGCGGACTGACCATTTGGAAACTCGGGCACTGCCCGAGGGCCTGGGGTCAGTAGGGGGCCCCATGAGATGCCCCTGGTACCTTTTTCATAGGCTTTTTGAGTTTGGGCAAGGACACAGGGGCCCCATGATCCCCTATTGCCCGGGGGCCCCATGAGTTGTCAGTCCGCCCCTGGTTAGGCGTGTTAGTTGCTCTAGTATGTGTATGTATGAATGTGAGTTAGGTGTGAGGGACCTTAGACTGTACACCCCTTGAGGGTTAGGCACTGATGCGAATGTACAAAATATATACATAAAGCACTGCATAAATTGGCAGCTCAATGTAAGTACCTGAAAATAAATAAATAAATGTGTTTGTTTAATTCTGATGGCATTGATAATGATCTATGAACTGCCAGTAAAAAACTTTAGCAGACATGTTTCTATAGATTGGAGTTCCTGTGAATACTGTATGGTCTGCCAAACCAGGAGCTCTAGGAACCGAAGCAACCGAGGAAGAATTACTCCATGAAGAGGTGATGAAGTAGTTAAGTCTGCAGGGAAGATGCTTGTCATTTCCCTTAAATCATTTCCTTCATCTAGAAAAGGAGACAGCTTGGCTACATTACACAGAATCCTTGTATGGCTCATTGTAGAGGCTCCTGGCCCGTCTCCCAAACCACTGATCACATTATCTGATTCTAATCCGTTTCTGATTGGGAAATTACACGTCATGATGCACCTTTCTCTCACTGCTCTCCCTCTAGGACTCATATCCCCATTCATCCTGATGTCCATTATGTTCATTTTATCTGTCAGATGAACAGAATTATGAATGGCGCATTTTTCTAAAGCGGAACCAGACAAAATTCGAGCCATGGGTGGGTCCTGTCAACCACCTTCCTCACATCCTTCTGAGTATCAAAGGAATGTCGGAAAATTGTCGGCCAAACAGCGCCTGCACCCAATCCACTGCTGCCGGTGTTGGCTGTCAGAATAAAACAGTCGGCAGGGAGATTCCTCCATCCCCTCTGTCAAGGTGAGGAAATTCTGCTGTCAAATTTTAGGGCCTCATATTGGCCTGCATTCTGAATCACCGGGGACTGGTGTACATTATGTAGGGTGGTGTGATGTACTTTCACATCACACTGGACTCATCCGTTATTTCAGAATGGCACCTTATTCAACTCTTCATACACTGCAGCTCATCGGGCCGTGGTGCAGTGAGGTTCACACTAGCTATGGTCTGGTAGAGTGATCCACATTTGGATTGCTCTTCAGAGAGCGCTGCTTAGCCACAATCCTACAGGGCACTTACACCCCCTTCCTGCCCAGGCCAATTTCCAGCTTTCAGCGCTGTCACACTTTGAATGACAATTGCGCGGTCATGCAACACTGTACCCATATCAAATTTTTATAATTTTTTTTTACAGATAGAGCTTTATTTTTGTGGTATTTAATCACCTCTGGGGTTTTTATTTTTTCTTAAACAAACCAAAAACCAAATAAGTGATTTTTCTCCTTCACTGATGTGCACTAATGAGGCTGCAGTGATGGGCACTGATAGGCTGCACTGATGAGGAGGCACTGGTAGGTGGCACTGATGGGCATTGACAGGCATCACTGATGGACACTGAAAGGCAGCACGGATATATGGCACTGATAGGCGGCACTGACTGGCACTGTTAGGTGGCACTGACTGGCACTGATAGGCGGTACTGATAGGCGGCACTGATTGGCAGCACTGATAGGTGGCACTGATTGGCATTGATAGGTGGCACTGACTGGCACTGATGGGTGACACTGAAAGGCAGCTCAGATGGGCACTGATATGTGGCATTGATGTGCACTGGTAGGCACTGAAATGTGGCACTGATGAGCACTGAGAGCTGGCACTGATAGACACTGACAGGTGGCACTGCTGGGGCTACACTGATCATCAGGGCACACTGATGATCAGTGCTTTGGTGATCAGTGTACATGTCCCCTCTGAGGAATGCTGATTACCGGCTCTCCTCTCCTCTGTCAGCGTGACAGCTCGAGAGGAGAGAAATGCCGATAACCGGCATTTCCCTGTTTACATGTGATCAGCTGTGATTGGACACAGCTGATCACATGACCGAGCCGACATCTTCGGCTCTTTCCGTGGATCGGTGATCCGCTGTGTCCAAGGGACACAACACACCGCCGATCGCCGCGCTGCGTGCTCCCAGAACCGTGCATGCGCGGTTTAGAATTGGAGGAAGTCATATGACGTCCTCCCAGAAACGAGAGAACCACCTTGCGTCAGTCATATTACTATATGCCGGGCGGGAGGTGGTTAAATTGATGGCGCTATATAAGTACCCATTATAAATTTTTTAAAAATAATAAATTCGACAGCGAGTGTTGTATTTCCTTCTCACTGCCTGCTTGGACCACTTGATCACCAGAATAGCGCACGCGACCGCATGCATTGCAAGCAGTTGGCACAGAGCAGTCCCATTCACTTGAATGGGTTGCGTTCGGCGGGCTGAAAGTGACTGGGAGTATAATTCCTGCTGTGGCCATGGCATGTGTCCACCCCCGGCCGCTGCCTCTGTAGCTAAAGGGAGTAGCAGTTGTTGGGCTGTAAAAGCATGGCTCAGCCATGGAGTATTACTGTCCTCCAGCTGCTATTGTGAATTAGCCCTATACAGTGCAATGTATAAATGTCTGCAGCTTTCCAGAGCATTGTGGTGTGAACACGGCACACATACACCAGCTGTCTTCCCTGCATTCACCCTGGGTTGATCTGTGCAGACGCTGTGAATGAGCCCTCCGATTTCTGTCCCCAGTTGAGATTTCTCTTTCCTTCCTACATGATCTCCCACATCCATCACCTGTAGAGGAAATCTGCCTAAGACTCGGTTCACACCTATGCAGTTTGCGTTTGATCCGTTTCTGCAGTGCGTTTTTGCACATGTTTTTGACGCATTTGGCATTTTTCTCTTGTTGCTAGGCAAATTAAACTGCAAAACGCGTCAAAAATGCAGCATGAACATATAAAAATATGCAAAAAACTGCAGCATCTTTATTGAAGTCTATAGAACCAAAAAGGCAAAGTGTTTGCCTGTAGCCTCCCTAGCGGTCTGATTATGTCCATATTTCTGTGCTCAAAGCGGTACATTTTTTTGCATGGAAATATGTATTTTTTTATTGTAGGCCTGTAATTTTTAGGAATAACTCACTGAAATCTGTCTGAACAAGAGTCTAGTAAACATCCCGGGTATGATAACATTTGAAACACGAAATCATAAATTATAATTTAATAAATAATCATAAAAAATAATAATATAATAATAATAATAATAATAATAATAAATTGAATTCAATAATATAATCAAACCAAAAACACTGAAATTTGAAATATAGCGCCAAGTTCACACATCACTGAGCAAAGTCGCAAAATCGTTTTCAGTGTCTGATGACGAATTTCCCCCACGAATCATTATCACTCAATTCTGCAAGTGGTTCTAATTTACTATCGCTGTTCTCTAGCCGGTCTAAAACCGCTTTTGACCTAAAGGGACACTTTTTGGACGCCATGGACATTTCTCAGTTTCCAGGCAGAAAGAACAGTAAAAATGCAGGCAGGGCACAGGACAAAGCACTCGGGACAAAATGTATGTGAAGTGGTTTGATACAGTAATGTACTAATATGTGATTGTAGTGAATTCAGTGAATGTCTCTTTTTGTCATTTTCAAATTTCCCGCGAGTTCCGTCCCCGTACGTCCCGACGTCGCAGGCAACGGAACCCAGAACACAGATGCCGGCATCGGCCGGAGGACATTGCCGGGGACACTGCAGGAGGGACATCGCGGGAGCGCAGGACAAGGTAAGTGCAGAAGAGATCCCGGAGCAACTCTGCAGGGTATTCCTGAGTGTAGCTCGGGGTTACCGCTTGTGGTGATGAAACTTTACCCCGAGCTACACTCGGGAATACCGCCAGGGGGGTTAATAAAGTCCCTGAGGGCCAGTGCACACTACACAAACACACTCTGGATACAATTCAGATACATTTTTGCTTACAGATCACACACACGCAGTTCCGGGGCAGTTTTGATGCAGTTTGCCATGTTCCAGTATGGTTTTGTGTAGAAATAAAATGCAGCATGTTCTACATTTTTTTTCTGTTCAGGAAACTGACTGGAACTGACTGCACTAGTGTGAACTAGGGCCATTGGAATACGTGGAAAACACCATGCATGCATTTTTGATGCAGAAAAAAAAAGTGCACTGAACTGCATCTAGTGTGAACCAGCCCTAACCCTTTCCAAAAAACGCACCGGGTGAAAATGCAGAGAGATGTGAACGCGTCCCATAGGAAATCATGTTAAATAGACCGCTGTGCGTTTCCATAAGACGCATGGGTGTGATCCTAGCCCCAGCAGCATACATGAGCACAGGATTTTTAAGACTTTTTTAAAAAAAAATTTATTAACATTTGTCCAACTGATCCAAAATTTGCGGGGTCGCTCATTCCCAATGTACAAAATGGCTGCTGTCAGGTGACGTGATGGAAATGCTACTTTCAATAAAGTTGTTGAAGAGGGAAAAAAAAAAAGGTCCTAAATGGGCGGGCGTTCGGGTGTTTACGCAGGTCTCCGCGGACTACACTTCCCGTGATGCCTCGCGGTGAGCCATGACAGATGGGGCCAGGATGAAGGCTGCGGGCTCCGCTGCTACGATCACAGGTGACCGGCGGTGTGTGTGTCCGCTGGGTGTGGGGGAGACCGGGGCCGGGCTGTGTATCTGGGCGGTGTGTGCAGTGATCGGCCTCAACCGGCGACCTTTGTATCCATCCCTGTTGTCACCTGACAGCCCGGTGTGTGTCTTCTAATAGGGATTAGAGGGCTGCCTGGGGCTAGGAGGGCATTACCCCCCCGGACAGGGGAGCCCCTCCCCCAGATCATGGTATACAATACAACCTGGATGGATGTGATTGTAGAGGCTGGAGGCGTATTGCCTTCATGTATTCTCTGCATTGAGTCCCATCTCCATCCTACTTTATCTCCATCCTCATTGGACTCCATTGGCCCCTGCTGCTGTCAATCAAATTCAGTGAAGGGGGGTGGGGTTGAGTCTCACTGTGTGTGTGGCAATGGAAGCACACAGCCCAGCTCGGGATCAAGCCCACACAAGTGCCCCCATAATAAAGGGCTTGGTATGGGGCCACTCAGAAGGGGGAGGGACCAGGAGTACTGACGGGACACTGGAAGAGGAGGATCGGGGCCGCCCTGTGCACAGAGCAGGTGAGTATGACATGGTTGTTATTAACCTCTTGGCGCCGTCTGAACGCAAATGTGCGGCCTCTCTGCGTCTGGCCTAGATGCCGAGCGGCCGCACATTTGTGTTCTATTAAAAACGCGCTGAGAGCGCGCGTCCTGCAAGCTCCCAACACACATGTTCGGTACTAACGGAAAGGTTCTGATCTCCTCTTTCGATTGGGACCTTTCCCGATCATGTGACGGCGGTCACATGACCCTAAAACCCTGCCCCGCCTCCCAGCTTCTGGAACCCTTAAAGGGCCAGGAGGCGCCGGCGCCAAGGGGTTGAAAAATAAATGAAAAAAGAACCTTTATAATCACTTTTAAGGCCTGGGTCACACCTGTGCATTTTTCAGTGTGTTTGAGTTTTGCATGTATTGAACTGTATTGTTGCTGTATTGTCTCCCGTTATATTGTAAAGCGCTGAGCAAACTGTTGGCGCTATATAAATCCTGTATAATAATAATGACACCCCAAAAGCAGGGCACAAGCGCACTGCGTTTGCCTGAACCAGATTGCAGGGGTGTAAACAACCACGCAATGCAGTTCCAGTGTGGTTTAAATAAAAAAAAAAAAAAAAAAAAAAAAAAGTGTACTTTGAAATGCACTTTGCACTTTGAAATGAATGGAGTCAAATCGCACCACACAGAATCGCATGTGAATTGCACAGGAATACAGTGCAATTCACAAGCAATCCAGAGTGTGAACCTAGGCTCATGTGTATCTACACCAACGAGGAAAATGTCATATATTGCGGCTTAGCAATTGTTGACTGTGGTGGCTGTATTAGTTCTTCTTTTTGTTAAGCTTTTTCTCTATTTTCACTTGGTGATCCTGCCAGTAACAGACTTCCGGTTTCAGAGTGACAACGCTCTGTTCTGCATCTGTGGAGGAGCAGTGTTGTCACTCTAGGACAGGATTAAAGAGCACCTCCCCTATGCCTCCTCTCCATAACATGGGGGGGGGGGGGTTGTAGTCCACAGGGAGAGAACTGGAAGCAGTGCTGCTAAGTAGTGCTGAGCTTGCATTTGTTCAGACTGGGGTTCAGGTCTGACCTCAGAAGCCGGCTGTCATTCCTGGTCCTATGAGCAGTGGGCTGGGATTCCCTACCCCTTTGTAATGGGGAATCTACCTTATTAGATCAATGATGTCATGAGCATCCCCGCCACTTTGTAATGTCAGCTGTGGGGCGGGGAGTCCACCATATTAGGTCAATGATGTCAGAATATAACTGGCCATTTTTAACATTGGTTAGGAAATCCACCATATTACATAAAAGATACCATGAGCATCCCCGCCCCTTTGTAATGCCAGCTTTGGGCTGGGAATCCGCCATTATAGGTCAATGATGTCATGAGCATCCCCGCCCCTTTGTAATGCCGGCTTTGGGCTGGGAATCCGCCATTATAGGTCAATGATGTCATGAGCATCCCCGCCCCTTTGTAATGCCAGCTGCAGCGCAGGAGTTTGCCATTATAGATCAATGATGTCAGGAGCATCCCCGCCCCTTTGTAATGCCAGCTGCAGCACAGGGAATCCCCCATTATAGGTCAATGATGTCATGAGCATCCCCGCCCCTTTGTAATGCCAGCTGCAGCGCAAGAGTCCGCCATTATAGGTCAATGATGTCATGAGCATCCCCGCCCCTTTGTAATGTCAGCTGCAGTGCAGGGAATCCCCCATTATAGGTCAATGATGTCATGAGCATCCCCGCTCCTTGTAATGCCAGCTGCAGCGCAAGAGTCCGCCATTATAGGTCAATGATGTCAGGAGCATCCCCGCCCCTTTGTAATGCCAGCTGCAGTGCAGGGAATCCCCCATTATAGATCAATGATGTCATGAGCATCCCCGCCCCCTTTGTAATGCCAGCTTTGGGCTGGGAATCCGCCATTATAGGTCAATGATGTCATGAGCATCCTCGCCCCTTTGTAATGCCAGCTGCAGCACAGGGAATCCCCCATTATAGGTCAATGATGTCAGGAGCATCCCCGCCCCTTTGTAATGCCATCTTTGGGCTGGGAATCCCCCATTATAGATCAATGATTTCAGGAGCATCCCCGCCCCCTTTGTAATGCCAGCTGCAGCGCAGGAGTCCGCCATTATAGATCAATGATGTCAGGAGCATCCCCGCCCCCTTTGTAATGCCAGCTGCAGCGCAGGAAATCCCCCATTATAGATCAATGATGTCAGGAGCATCCCCACCCCATTGTTATGCCAGCTGCAGCGCAGGGAATCCCCCATTATAGATCAATGATGTCAGGAGCATCCCCGCCCCCTTGTAATGCCAGCTGCAGTGCAGGGAATGCATCATATTAGGCCAATGATGTTAGAGCATCCCAACTGCCTTCTATATGTATAGCTGTGGAGAGGGGAATCCCCCACCCAGAGCTCATTGGACCAGGAATGACCCGAACCCGGTTCCAAACAAATGCAAGTTTATCTCTACTAATAAGAGTAGAGCACGGGATGTTATCAGCTCAAAAGATTTTGGTAGGATCAACAGGTATTATTTTGTACTTCTTGAACAGCTATAACAACACACTTTCAATGGTTTTATTAACAGACTGAAGAGGAGCAATTGTCAGGGCTTGCAGAAGGCAAACTTTTTTTTTTTTTGTTTTTGTTTTTTTTTTAGTTTTGGAGTGGAGATGGATTAGAATCCCAGCCAGGTTTCTATTGCCGTCTGTGACCCTATTAGGTAGATTCACCCTCTCTATTTGTCCTGTTTAAAGTGGAACTTTACTCATGTCAATGGATAAAAATAATGTTCTTTAGACCTGCTTCACCCCAAATCCGATTTCAAAGTGGTGCAATTTGATCCCATTTAAAGCGCGACTTCAAAGTAACACTGATATAGACACAGGTGCAATTTCAGTGCCATTTACCTTATAGTCTATGAGAGTTAAATGACAACTGAAGTGGTGAAAGAGTAACGCAGGAGCTATTTATCAAATCGCACCTATTAGGACAGTGCCATAGAAATACACTGAATACGACGTTGGGTGCAATTGGTAAATCACATGCCGCGTATGAAGTCGCAGCAGTGTTAACCAAGGCTTAGCAAGGAACACACATTCCACATTAATAATTATGCTACCAAAATTAGTGTGAGCTGTAAATTGCTTTCAGCATTGTTACTGTTTCTTCTTGCTGGAGGCTGCCTATTATTATTATTATTATTTAGTTTATTTATTTTTTTAAGCCCTGAGCAGCAGTTAAAGCAGAACCAAACCCTCCTGTCCTTTTCATCCACGGAAGCTGCTTCTGTTTGATCTGCAACTGCCATGGTGCCGCACATGTGATCAGTTATAACACCATTCATTGGATGGTTTGACAGTTTGGTTAAGAACACAAGCAAATGTGACAGTTAGCATTCCTGACACGTAAATGTTTTTTGAAACTGTTAAACCAATCAGTTTCGTTCTGCTTAAATCTTTAGACTGGCAGCAGATCGGCCTCTACAAATTCTGCAGTGCCTAAAAATGCCTTAAAATGGAGAGCAACTGAGCATGTGCAGAGCAGGGTGAGACCGTATATTACTGGATTTTACACCATATAGACACTTATTAAGTGTTCTTTCATGGCAAGACCACTTCCTGTTATCTCACATATATATTCTTATTATTATAGCCAAATTTACCACCCTAACTCCTTCCACAGTTTTTACACTACATAGACAGTAATATACCGAAACGTGCGGATTGTTCCCAATTGGTGTGCTATTACTTTGTGGAACGTTTCGCTGAATGGTTCACGAAATATCGCCGTTTTTGTGGTGAAATTGGTCCCATAGGAATGAATGGCGGAATGTTCAAAACTAGAGTGGGAGCTGACAAAAGCTAGAGTGTGAGCTGAAAAATCAAGACATGATTTCTAAACTGCCATCACTCCCTCATTTTCAAGCCCACCTACACAAATCTTATATCAAAACATTCAGCTATCCCTGCTGCCACTAAAAATGTCCACCGCTAAGCCATAGTCCTGATAGTTTTCACAATATGACCATTTGTTTGCAACTCACGCCGCCCATTGACATTCATTGAAACGCCACTCTAGCCACCTCAAATTTGAAGGGCAATTTCTAAACTGCGCCTTCATTTTTAATATTTCAGAGACATACTATGCATCAAAATGTAGGTCTGGGTCTTGTGATTCTCACTCTATCAAGCTTGCCATGTGCACTTTTTAAATTTGATCAATCAATTGGTTAGTGTAATGTTTACTATCTTTACTCACTCCAAACACTCCACACAGTTACTCTGCCCAGTCCAACCTTTTCACAGTTACTCCGCCCACTCCACCCAGTTACTCTGCCCACTCCATAAAGTTACTCTGCCCAGTCCAACCTTTTCACAGTTACTCCGCCCACTCCACCCAGTTACTCCGCCCACTCCAGTTGTAGACTACTGGTGGAGGCAAGAACACTTCACACAATTTACCCAGAAATTGCAGCTTTTCTAGTTCTTAATGTTTTACATAGCTATACCTATAAAAGGGGTGAGCATGAAGTGGTCTAGCAGGACTTAATTTTATGACTAAAGTTCCATTTTAATGTTATCATTGAGAGTGAAAGAAAATCCCAAATTTTAGGTTGTCACCAGATCAGTAATGGTGGGGGGGGGGATCTTCCAGTGGGGATGTTAGTTCTGGTGACCCGGAATTCCCGCACTTTGGAGGGATTTCCTGTTTGGCTATAGGACTGGAAGTGAAGGGAAATCTCTGCAATGGGACAATGCTGACGGGTTAGAACCCTTGCTTACCCTATCCATTTTTTTTTTTTTAAGTGTTGCCTTTAGTTCTACTTCAAAGTATGACGAAAGGAAAAACTTCTTTTATTTTTTTTTTTTCTAGTTTTGGATGGAGCAGAGAGGGATTAGAACTCCAGTTTTTGTTGCTGTCTGTTCCCTCTCTATTTGTCCTGTTTAACATTATCAGTAAAAGTAAACTAAAATCCCAAATTTTGGGTTGTCCACAGAAAAGTAATGGAGGGGAAATCTTCTAATTGTGGACACTAGTTCTGGTGCCCTGGGGGTCCCCAAGGGATCCCCGTAATTTGCAGAGATTTCCTCTCACTTCCTGTTTGGCTATGGGGCTGGAAACAAAGGGAAATCTCCCTAATGGCAAAAGAAAACCGACAGGAGTTAGAATCCTCCCTAACACTTGGTTCACATATGTGTAGGTGGTGCGTTGCGGATCTGCACCTCCCGCACAGAGAAATGCGGACCCGCAGGCGGGTGACATTAGTTCTAATGGCACGCCGCCCGCACTGGAAAACGCAACCGTACTGGGAACCGAGGTTCCCGTGCGGGCTGCATTTTTAGAAGTGCAGAGACTTCTTCCCTGCATGTCACGGGGCATGGGAGTCCATTCAAAATGCAGCCCGCACTGCCGCATATATGTGATCCAGGGCTTACTCTATACAAAATTTTAAAAAAGAAAAAAAAAAAAAGAAGGTTTTTGCCTTTAGTTCTACTTTACCTGCTTGGTAGCCGGAGATGAAAATGTGCCCAGGCTGTTTAGTCTTAAAGGGGTATTTATGATCTCATCCTTGCAGATGATGCACCTGATTGTGTGAGGCTATGCATGTCCCTGAATGAGGGGTGAAAGGTTATGGGTGTTTCTGACAGTTACAATTGCTCAAGTGTGCCTATTATTTTTTGTGCTCATCGGGGTTGAATTACTAAAGGCAAGTAAGCTGTACGCTTTGCAAGGGAATTTTCATCAGAACTTGGTGGTGAAATTTCACTTTAAAAAAGAATAGCCATGTGCAAGGGACAAAAACAGCAAAATTTGCAAGGGAAAATTCCCTTGCAAAGATCAGTCTATTTTCCTTTAGTAAATCACCCCCAGCAGATTTCTGATGTTGGCAATCTTTGTGGACTCCGTTTCTAATCTCCTCTTATGTCATGCAGCATTTTGATCTCAGGTTTACCTTTTGTACCATCCCAAGCATCATTATGGCAGACACTAAACCACTTCACCAAAAAAGATTTGAAGCCGCTGTGAGCGTCATCCAAAGCTTGCCCAAAAATGGTAAGAATCGATCAACTGAAGTTGTTTTTGTGATTCATTAACAAAGGGACATATTTGTAAAAAGAAAGTTCTCCCAAAAAGGGGGGCAGCTCAGTCATAGTGACCAATATTACTGGAGAACTGTCTTTTCTCAAGTTTCCATATCAAGGCCAAAAACTGTTGAGACCTGTAAGCTAGCTCAGCCTTTCTCAACCTGTTCAACACAGAGGAAGCTTTCAAAATAATACTGTCCATACATGGTTCGTTTGAGATAACTCCAGTGCTCGTGACTTCAAATGGTGATAAAATGGTATGTACTTGCACTTACCAGAAGCGAAAGGTAAATGCGCATATAGCAATAATCTCCAAAAGGAACCTTGGTGGTCATCATGGATCTGGTCAGGGACAGAAGTGGGCTCCACTGGCACATACACACAACAGGGGAAGCACTCCAGACATCACTAGCAGACCAACCCAGCAAATAGGGACAGCTCCTTACCATCAGACTTCCCCAAAGTGTACCGAGTCTGCCAGATGTTAATCCTCCACCTTAAATGGCTCAGTAATCAAGCCACCAGACATGGGTATTCTAGTGTAATCATTTTAATCAAATTCGGCAAAGTAATCCAAATTTTTTTGCAAATTATTGCTGGGTGGCCTATGATTTTTATGCTGTGGCAAACTAATGTTGCCAAATGCCCTTCATGCTTTTAGGGTAAGCGGGAAGGTGCAGTTCCCCTAGTACTGGAGAACTGTAGTTCATATAATAGGACCTATAAATGAGAGCAGGCACTGCCGACTTGTTTGTAAAGGGGAAAGTTTCTTGAATTGATTTATTTACTTCAGGTACTTATATAGCATTGTCCCTTTATGCTGCACTTTAAATATATATTGTACATTCACATCAGTCCCTAACCCTCAAGGAGTGTACAATCTAAGGTCCCTAACTCACATTCATACATACACATACTAGGGCCAATTTAGACAGGAGCCATTAACCTACCAGCATGTCTATGGAGTGTGGGAGGAAACCAGAGTACCCGGAGGAAACCTACGGGAGAACCTGAAAATTCCAGGCAGGTAGTGCTTTGGTTGGGATTTGAACCAACAACCCTAGTGCTGCCCAGTTGTAAGGGATAATCACTTAGCCACTGCACTTTCCCTTGAGTGTCCTGCTATCACAGTGTCCCTGCCTAAACAAGTACAATAATACCTCGGTTTACAAACGTCTCGGTTAACGTAATTTTCGGTTTACAAATGAAAATCCATTGAAAATAATGCCTCACTTTACAAATTTTTTAGGATTTTTTTTTCGCAATACGAAGTGTATGTCAGTGCTTTTTTTTTTTTTTTTTTTTTTTTCCCATCACTATAGCTCACAGAATTAGCTGTCACTTTCCTTGGAGTTAACAGAAACTTTGTTTCTTTTAAGAAATTAAAAGGAAACATTGTTTCTCTTAACTCAGGAAAATAAACTAAAAAAACTTTTTCTTTTAGCCCGGTGAAAGTGACAGCTGAATTTCTGAGCTATAGAGAAGAAAAAAAAAGCAGTAATTACATTTAAAAACCAGCACCATAATAAATAAAAAATGACTTGGGGTTTCCCCTTCCATCCATACCAAGCCCTTCAGGTCTGGTATGGATTTGGAGGGGAACTCCAACACCAAAATTAAAAAAAAAAAATGGCATGGGGGTCTTCCCAAAATCCATACCAGACCCTTATCTTCGCATGCAGCCCCGCAAGTCAGGAAAGGGGGGGTCGCTTCCCCACAACTCTGGCCGGTGGTTGTGGGGGTCTGCGGGCGGGGGGCTTATCGGAATCTGGAAGCCCCCAGATCCTGCCCCCCCCCTTCTCCCCATGTGAATGAGTATGGGGTACATGGTCCCAATACTCATTCACAAAAAGTGTAGTGTGAAAAAAGACAGGACACTGTCTTTGACAAGTCCTGTATTAAAAGAAAAAACCAAAAGAATGCTCTCCATAGTAGATTCAACGTCAATCATGATGCCTGCCGCTGCCGAAAAAAGAGTTTAAAAAAAAGGCTACGTTCCCGACGATGGCTTCCAGCCGTCTGCCTCTGAGCTGGCTTGACAATTCTTAAATATGTCAGGGGCGGAGCCACCTATGGACATCACCCGAGGGACCCCGCCCCAGGTGACATCATTGATGTCACCTGGGGTGGGGTCACATGCGTGATGTCCCTGGGTGGCCCCGCCCCTTACATATTTAAGAACTGTCAAACCACTGGAGTAGGCAGAAGGCCGGAAGCCATCATCGGGAGCGAAGACTTTTTTTTTTAATTTTTTTTTTTTTTCTTTCAGGTCTGTGACAGCAGGCATCGTAATTGATGTTGGATCTACTGCGAGGGACATTCTTCTAGTTTTTTTCTGTTAATAAAGGACTTTTCAAAGACCGCGTTGAGGGCATGTGGCCTGGTATGGTTCAGGAGGGGGGCGCTCGCTCGTTGTCTTTAGTTATGCTTTAAAGTGTTTGTAAACCCAGTATATACCCAGTAACGTGACAAGTCTCATGCGATACACAAAGACTAAACAAATCCCTCTGCATACGTTGTACCTGTTTATCTGTATCCCGTTTGTCCTGTACATCCTTGAGAAGCTGAGAGATGAAAAGGATTTTTTACAGACTCCTAAAGCAAAATGGGTGGGGAGCTGTAGCTACACACTGTACAAGAGCTCTGAGAGCTGATTGGAGGGAAGGGATACACCCTCTTCACATGGCACACAGGAACAGAGCTGAGGCTGTTAATCTCAGGCTGTGTGCTGGTGATCTCTCCTCTGTCACCTTTTTAGCTCTTAGTGTCAGGAAAACTTGTCATAAGTGATTCATGCTGATAACAGAGGAAATAGGCAGCAGAGAGAAATGATGCTTGGTGCTGTGAGGAGAGCCAAGTAAACACTATGGAGGGAAATGCTTTGTTCAGATTTCATTTCTGAGGTTTACTACCACTTTAAGTCTTTATCTTTATTAAAACAAGTCAGCAGAAGCTATCCCCATATCCTGACAGGTTCATTTTATGCTGATCTTGTGGTTTCTTCCAGAGCACAGTACTTTTGCTAATTGTGTTTTCTTTTGCTGCCTGCAGTGTACAAGTCTTGTGATTGGCTGTGTCAGCTGATTTAGGGTTTTATCAGCTGCCTGTCAATTGAGACAATTAGTCACAAGGCAAAAAGATGGGGTGCTCTGTCCCCTGCCACTTATACTTGCTTCAAGAGACCGCTTAGATTGTACCAGCTGAAAATATGTCGCTGTATGGAGATTTTAGTTCATAACTGTTGTTATCCTTAATTATTCCTGTAAAATTTTAATTTTAGGCTCTTTCCAGCCATCCAACGAAATGATGCTGAAATTCTACAGTTTTTACAAACAAGCAACACAAGGACCATGCAATATACCAAGGCCTGCATTTTGGGATCCTGTTGGTCGATACAAATGGTGATTTACATTAATATACTTTTACCCTGATTTGTGGCTGTTAGCTGTTTAGCTCCAAGCACTCCAGGTTTTATTTTTATTTTTTATTTATTTATTTTTTGTTATTAGCATTTTTTTCTGCTCCTAAAAGCTAAATAGTGTTATGCTATGTGTCCATGCACACTATTTTTAGGCTAGTAGCGTTTTTTCAAGCTCCAGCGTTTAGTAGCAGAAAAAAAAAAGTTTTTGTAGAGTTTTTTTGGCTCGTTGTTCTTGCTGATAAAAATGGTGAAAGCTCCTAAATTCTCCTAAAAGTTACTAAACCGCTCCTAATCGCTTTTTTCTAACCTTTTTTGTTTTTCTACATGTACTGTAAAAACATTAATAAAAGGCTAATCGCTCCTAAAACGCTACTACAAGCTGGCATGCACAAAAACACTATTATCAACGTTTTTGCATCCAGCTTTTTTTTTTTTTTCTAGTGTTGTGTTGTTTTTTTTTTTTTTTTTTTTTTTTTTAGCTTAACTAAAACTGCTAGTGTGCATAGAGCCTGAAAATGCAGATTTCATAGGACATTATATTGGATCAGAAATAATTGGGTAAATACCAATATCACGTGACTAGAAATAGTGTTAGTGTTATGGATACATGACTTAAATGCTTCTGGGTTCATTTTTCAGGGATGCCTGGAATTCGTTGGGTGACATGACTAAGGAAGACGCCCATGGTTGCTTATGTTGATGAAATGAAAAAGGTAGGATACAAGCCAATGAACTGGGTATTTAATGGATATAAATAAGATGTAAAGTGTGGATAGACAGTGCTGTTGCTGATTATTTATTTTATTTTTACATTTGCACACACTAGGCTAGTGATCCTGATTCTAGTTTACCTACCTAATGTGCCCTTGAACTGGAACAAGCATGCAGCCAGTGAAGCCAAAAAAATTCTAATGTCCTGTTTTGCATGCATATTCCAGGTCAGTGACAGACTAGGTGGTAAAAGTAGGATCAGAATGACAGCTGTGGAGGCTGCAGCTTTAGGAACAAGGCAAATGTCATGTGTAAATTCCTATGGACCCCCTTTATTTTGCTGTTTTAATTAGGTGTGCTGTGAAAGCCATAGTTAGTCTATAGGCATACTGTATGCTGTAGTAAAGGCCAGCAAAGGATTTACACCTGTTTTCCAAGACAATATAACTGGCAAGGTGGATAAACCTTCCTTGTTTTGGTACTTGTAATATGAGATGACTTTGTCGAAGGGAGAATATGTTGTTTGAAAGTAGCCCGTTTGAAGTGGTTTGGGACTCATTGCTGTCTCCCATAGGCTCTTAGTGAAGTCCCAGGTAATTATAATGAGTAGGAAGTCCAGGAATTGGCTCAGATTGTGCAGGATCGATAGGCCTGTGGCCAGGCAGTTGGAAGTCTCTTGGCCTGCTTAGCCTATTTCCCACATCCCTCTAGTATAAACAGGTAGGGGATGATGACAAGGCTCACCTTCTGTCCTTTTCACTGCATATTGTTATCGTATAGTTCCAGAACCAAAGGATTTCCATCTTAAATAAATATAATTTTGTTTACTTATATATATTCTGTCTATCTATGTAAGATCTTTGAGATATAATTACAAGATATAGACAGCTGAAATAAAACATATATTTTAAATTGTCAGGCTGTGTTGATTGTTCAAGTTATTTTAAAGCTTAACCTCTAAAAAGTGCAGCTCCTGTATTAAATAATACATTTATCATTTAATTTATAATTGTATTTTTTTTTTTTTAAATGTAAGTAGGGTAATTACCTAAATTTTACTTTGTGTCAGCCACTGCAACAGAGCCCAGACTGAGAAAGGGTAAAGCAGCACGATGAACCAATGAATATTGATAGGAAAAGAGAGCAGAGTGATAGAAAAATTAGCTGATCGTTGTGCTGCTTCTCCTTTCACTGTTCAATCACAGGCTGGGGAAGGGACAAGACCTGTAAGTGTTACCTAACTGCAGCAGAGAATCATCGGGTCTCCTCCCCTGCCAGGCAGGGCTGTACTTTGTGGCAGTGTTGTGCTCATCTCAGAAACCGATGAATAGAAATTCAAATCCTTTGCCAGTTAAAATGGCCCCCATTTATATATTTGATATGTGTATTCATCTTTCTAACTGCAGTGCAATACACGGTCATTACTCATTGGTGGAGATGATCCATTAGGTGTAGAGGATGTATTGGACTCTGAAAGAATCAAGAGTTTCTATAAAGAGCAGCTCACTAACTATAAACCATTGATCTGGGTCATTAATCCTCTAGAGGAACATGAGCACTGTGCTGGGATTTTATTACAGCTAAGTAGATTGTCCATGGTAATTTCCAATTACAGAGAAAGCCATTCACACCTTTGTAATCCTTCAGGGTTTGTATAGAATGTCAGATGAATATTGGCAGCAAAGTGTTGCAGATGATCCCACGCATACAGAAACAAATAGATATTTAAATATTTATTTGTTTAATATGTTGTGCAATGGGTGCTATTGGTTTAAAAAAAAAAGGAACATTAGCTAGTTTGGAGGATTTGTCCATTACAACCAGCGAGATTCCAGTTTTAATTTTTATTTTCTCATACACAGTAGAATATACATCTGGTTGACTGTTATGGTTTGCCATCTTCATCAGGTCCATTTACTCTACTGAATCTTTTTTTTTTTTTTTCTTTTCTCCCCCTTAAACTAAGTTAACTCCCAACTCCAGATTTAATGTCTGTTTATATAGCCTGTTTGGGCCAAGCTGGCCCAAATAAACTTTTTTAACTGCATTAACAGATGCATTTGCTGGGCACGCTGTATTAACCACTTCCAGACTGGACACTTTTACCCCCTTCCTGACCAGGGCAATTTTCAGCTTTCAGCGCTATCACACTTTGAATGACAATTGCGCGGTCATGCAACACTGTACCCAAATGAATTTTTTACCATTTTTTTGAGACAGATAAAGCTTTATTTTGGTGGTATTTATTCACCGCTGGGATTTTTATTTCTTTTGCTATGTTAAATGAAAAAGTCCAAATATTTTGAAAAAAAGTGTTTTTTTTAATAAAATTTTGCAAATAAATAATATTTCATCATAAATCTTTGCCAAAATGTATTCCGTTATCTTTTTAGTAAAAAAAAAAAATCCAAATTAGTTTATAACCAAAAATTATAATTTTTAAACTTTTTTTTTTTACATTTTTATTTTATTTTTTTATATTATTTTTTATTTTTTTTACATACTGTCACCCTAGCAGTACAGTGTCACCATGGTGACACTGTACTACTTGTGGGTGGTGATGAAGATTTTTTTTTTTTTTTTTTTACACATTGCTTTTACACCCATATAGGATGTAAAAGCAATTATTTCTCTTTCTCTCTGTGTGCATTCTTGCACTCATTGAGAAGTACTGAGTGAGCTGTGATTGGTCACAGCTTGTCACATGGTACAAGCCTGTTGTGAATAGCCTTGTACCAGGTGACCTCTGTGATCATTCACAGATTTCACACGTAGTAAGCAATGATGTCACAAGTGACATCTTGCTTACTACTTTGCATGTGATCACTGATTGGCCAATCAGTGATCACATGATCGGGACCTCGTACAGAGGTCCCGTCCGACGATCTGTGTTTCACTGTGTCCGGAGGACACAGCTGGCACCGCATTGCGGTGCTGTGCGCTCCCAGGGAGCGCGCACAAGCAGGGTGCGGGGAGGCCGTTTATAAACGGCCACCCGACCCTGCACTGCCACCGTCCGACCGTTTATATGCAACGGCCGGGCGGGAAGTGGTTAACTGTATGTAGCCTCCCCTGCATACAGTATACAGCGCTGTGTTCCTGCAATGGGACAAGAATCCCATCCCACTCCCTGAACAAAACCGAGTCGGGTGGGAATGAATACAAAGCTTCCTCTGATTCACTGAGGCAAAGATTGTTACATCACCCTCCTGTCTCAAGCAATCAGAGATAACTTTTTATTCATTTATAGAATACAAAGCTTCCTGTGAATGGGTAAGCAGCACTCTGCCTAGCTCTACTGTTTACAGGGAACAGGACGGGAAGTTTTCATCCCACTGTGGAACACAGCGCTGTGAATGGCAGGGCACCTGTTAGAAACCATGGGGTCCATACAGCCAACCTGACAGAACCCTTCCTACTATGCTTTGATTTATGAATGAACACAGTGAGCAATCCGTACCAATCACTCATTGTGTTCAGGAAAGGAAGGGGCTGGTAAATGTGACATATTTACCAAACCTTTCCCCCACTCTCCATCCTGAATGTCCTATTGTGTGCTTGCAGCGGCCGGTGGGAATGAGAGGAGGGAAGCCGGGAGCACTGCAGGGGTGGGAGCACATAGGGGAGTCCTGGGCAGCAGGGGGAAATGTATGGTGCACAAGAAGGGTAATGGGTGCTGCTGGGGGGGCGCAATTACTCGAACCGATCCATTGTATGTCCTTCTCTGCAGTAGGTGAAAGCCAATGGGAAGCTGAAAAGAAGCTTTCAGCTGCTGCAGAGACAGCCATTCATTGGTTCCAGTTATTGCCCCCCCCCGCCGTGCCGATCACTCTCCCTGCCAACATCTGATTCACCCAGCTGCCTGGGCCCCTTACAGACTGGTGGTACCCCCTTATCCACAGCCCTGCTTAGGTGATTCTACATACAATTAATACAGCGTGCCCAGAAAAGTGCAGTAAATAGATTGTTTGGGTCATCCAGCTCAAAAGTTCAAGCAAGTCACTTCAGAGCTTATCCCTGAAGCCAAGCAAGTCACACCAACTGAAACTAGTTTCAGAGGGACACACAGAGGAGAGTTTTATGGTTAATAAAAGCAATGTCAAGGGTGTCCGCTCTTATACTGGACCTATTTTCTTTTTAAAAACTGCATTTATTTGTATATATAAACCCTTCTGCTTTACAAAGGGCCAAGCTGGAGACTAATAAAATTGAGGCCAGTTTTACATCTGATCTAGTTGTCCTCTAATACCAGGCAGTAGCGTTGAAGCACTAGCATACAGTTACTGTACATGGCTTTTGACTTTGGGAAGATGGCAAGGAGAACTTTCATCTCTAATCAAATGGACCAATGCATACATTGGGTTTTAAAACCAGACTAGAGGAACGATTATGTCCATGATCAAATAGTAATGTTTGAAGAGTGGCAGAGTAGGTGCTGTAGACAATTATCCAGTCTTATACAGTTGCAAGACAACAGGTAAGTTGTAGGACCTGCTTTAGGGCACTTTCACTCTGATCTGTAGCAAAAACGTATGTGATTGCGGTGTTTTTCACAGAACATGCTACTCAAAAACCACATCAAAAATACAACACCGGTTCCTTTTGTGCCACATTTTCATTGGGGTGGTGTGTTTTTTTTGGTGGTGTTTTAGATATGCCCCAAAAATGCACCAAGCAGGATGTTTTACACTGCAACAAACGCACAATGGGCCAGTGTGAAGACATACATAGGGAAGCATTCTTTTCTGCTTTTCTTGGAAAGGAGTCTTTAAAGTGATTGTAAAGGCAAAATTTATTTTTTTTTTCTCTTTAAAGAGTAACCTCACTTGTTGAGGGAAAAAAAAACAATTCTCTCTAGGTGATCTATGTACAGTTGCAAGGATTTTAACAACCTTTTTTTGCAGATTCCTACCTTTTTTGATTTTCTGAAGGAATGGCTGTTTGAGTCCATGTGCAGAATGAACCTGTATGGGTGTGTTTCTGTAATTCTCAATCAGCTTCTGCACGTGCTGGGTCTACATCCCTTTAGACATGATTTCCCTTTGGGAGTGTCTCACCAAAGATGACATTTTTGTTGCAGGGGAGTCTAAAAATCGAATTTGTATCTCTTTCTGGGAAAATCCGCAAGCCAATCAATCAAGCAAGGAATGACATATTTGGGGCGTTTTGAACATCATCTGTGTACAGGACGCTCCAGGTATCCATATTTGCAATAAATTTTAAAGAAAATGTCAGCGCTGTAGATTGAAAAGGAAAGGTACTCTTTAATAATGTTCAATTAAAATATAACTTGTGTTGCAGTTGTATACAATATATTTTCCTATTTTTTTTTTTCTGATGAAAGTGGAGTTACCCTTTAATGCATTCTCTGCGTTAAGTTAAAAATACCTTCTGCATGCATCCTTCCCCCCCCAGGCCCCTTTACCTACCTGAGCCCGATCTTGATCCAGCAGTGAGCACCAGAGCAGAGGCTCTCTCTGCTCTCTTCCTCCTTATTGGCTCAGATACAGAAGCGGGAGCTGCTGCTTTCAATCAGTCTGTGAGGAGGGGGTGGGGCCATGCCTTGCTCTGTTTGTCTGGACACTCAGAGGGGCTCGGGAGTGAGCACACACACGAGTGCCTCCATAACAAGTGGCTTGCTATGGGGAAACTTGGCAGAGGGGAGGAGCCAAGATCGCTGGAGGGGAACCCGTGAAGAGGAGGATCAGGGCTGCTCTGTGCAAAACCACTGCAAGTAAGTATTACATGGTTGTTATTTTAATCTAGCCTTTACAATCACTTTATTACTGAACAAATATGTCAGGTCCGATTCACACCACTATATAAGGGCCAATTCAATGCAGCCCCAAGGCAGTCACAAGGTGAAATCTATTGTTTTAGTGGGCCCTGGTCACAGGAACGTGCTGTGCTGATATGTGCTGGGTGGAAAAGTGTTAACTCAAGCCTTTCTTTTTTTTTTTTTTTTTTTTTTTTTTTTTTTCTAAATGCACCACATACTGTATGATGTGAATCCAGCATAAGTGTGTCGCAATCTTTGACATTGTAAAATGATGACCTGGGACATCTTGTTGACATAGAGGATTACATTCTAGATTGAACAGAACGTAAATCAATATACCGTTTTACTTCACCTCTTGCCTTTTGGACACTAGATTCTTGAGAGCATGCCAATGACGGAGAAAGTGGAAGAATTACTTCAAGTCATAGGTCCGTTTTATGAAATAGTGGAAGACAAAAAACATGGGCGAGGATCTGGTGTAACGTCAGGTTGGCCTCACTCCTGCTTGTACTGTAGAACAAATATAGTTCATATCTTATGTCCCTGTCCTTTTCCCCCAAATCAACCTCTGTCTCTCTGCTCTTTCTTTGTTACATGCTAGTACGATTGGATAAAGTTGCTAAGTCTTTAGAAGGTAGGAGGATCATTTTGATCTGTCTCTGTTACTGTATTACATCTTTAATGACCGGGGTGCAAATCATTGAAAGGAAATCAAAACTGATATTTCTGCTTTGAATAGGACCTGCTGGATTGAATCACTTGCCTGTTTCTTATATCTCCCAGAGACTTCAAATAGTAGTTTTTGACAAAAATTCATACCTTTCTAATGAAGGTGCCACTTTCTTGTAGCTAAATTTCCTAATGATTTCATTAACTAGACAACCAACTGGGGGGAGTGTGACCCCATTATTTGGCTTTGTAATGTTTTCATCAGCTGGGGGGAACTAGAGGTTCTGCTATAGAGATTTCGCTATTCGTCTGCAGAAGGTATATGAATACAGGGTGTGTGAAACTTATTACCAATAAATTAAAACTGGTAACCATGCAAAACTGAAATATCATTTGTGTGCAAAGTTCCTAGGATCTGAAGAGAAATTATGTGTACCCCCAGCAACAGGTCAGAATTTGGACTTTATTTGGAGCAGTCTAACCAATGTAAATTTGTTTAAATTGTGGCTACTGTAAGGTTCTGTAGTTTGAGAATGCACTTTATTTTATCGCTTAAAGATACAAAACCTTGTTGAAAAGGAAAGAAAATAAAGATTTTTCTTAGTTGAAGAGAGGAATAGATCCCACTGCAGCAAGCACTTCCTCAGCCTCCTCGAAGTCAGGTGATTCACCGATCAAAAACCTGACCGAACTCTGTGCACTTCCAAGGAAAAGCAAATGGCCGCACACCAAAGACATCACTGAATAAAACCAACTTTTTTTACAACCAAAACAAGGGGATCATACCCCCCCAAAGACCGCCTCTAACTGATGAATTTCACCTTTATGGGCTTATAATTAAGCCTGTAATGGTGAAATGCGTCAGTGATGTTTTATGCAATGATTGCTTTCCTTAAATTAGAACTGTAGGCAAATTCTTTTTTTAAATTTTGGAGAATAAGGGAGGGTTATAACCCCTGTCAGAATTTTATTCGCCATCTGTGTCCCCTTGTAGAGATTTCCCTTCACTTCCTGTCCCATAGTCGAACAGGAAGTGAGAGGAAATCCCTGCAAATTATACAAATTTCTTGGGAACCCCCAGGTTACCAGAACTAGGGTCTCTATGGGAACATTTCCCTTCTATTACTTTTTTGGGGACAACACAAAATGTGGGATTTTCTTTTACTTTCACTTTTAAAGATAATGGTAAACAGGACAAATGGAGAGAATGAAGCTCCCTAACGGGGGCACTGACAGGGATTCTAAAAATAAAAAGGTTTGCCTTTTAGGAATTATTTTTTTCTTTTATTTATTTCAGGTACTTATATATACTTGTGTATTTCCACAGCACTTTACATACATACACATATATAAATATTTCACATCAGTCCCTAACCCCCAGGGAGCTTACAATCTAAGGTCCCTAACTCACATTCATACGTACACATACTAGGACCAATTTAGACCGGAACCAATTTACCTACCAGAATGTGTTTGGAGTATAGGAGGAAACCCGTGCAGGGACAGGGAGAACATGCAAACTCCAGGCAGGTGGTGCCGTGGTTTGGATTCGAACCAACGACCCTAGTACTGCCAGGCGGTGCTAACAATTTAGCCACTGTGCTGAAAAAGGCTTTTCCTGCTTGGGCAGAGCAGATATATCTTTAGTTCTTTGCCTAAGGCTTCCATTGTCCCGTGTGCATGTGTTAAATTCCCTCATTGCTTTGTCACCTTGCTGTATAGTGACACCTCTGCAGCCTTCTGCTTTTTCAATGTAGTCATGAGCTGCAAAATCAGATTTTTAACTGAAGCGTTGCCAACTGGTGAAATGTGGTATCTTGTCTTCTTCATTCACACATAATGCTGATGTCCTGTATACATGTAACTAGTAATGTAGGCAACAGACGTTCTGTGGTTCCACTGTAGTTGGGGGAAAAAAGAGGAGACTGCCTCTGTTACATGAATCCAAAGTAGACTAGGAATCTTCAAATGAACACAGCTTCAAATTTTCATCTAAGCATTGCTGTGGTGCTCCAAGGCATTCCCCCTTTAAGTTGTTGGTAAATACAAAAATATATTTAGTCCTCTGCGCTCAGGAGTGGTATATTAGGATGGGACTATATCAGGTCCTTCATGTGTCCAGTACCAGCACAGGCCTTGCTGCCCTCTAAGGGTTGGGGGAGGAACCCGAGGACAATAGCTGTAAAAACAAGGGTAAAGAGGGCGCACCAGCCTCATGCATTACCTAGGATGATAGCTTCACCAAATCCGAAGTTAAAATATACTCACAAACACTGTGGTAACAAAGGCTTATCAAATACAAAGCAACCAATACACAGGATCAGCTCCCAATCTCGTGAGGACCCTCTTGTGGCTGATGCGTTTCGAGGAGCAGCTTCCTCTTCCTCAGAGCCCCTGAGGGCTGTAGACCTGTCGGTAATCTGCTTGCTTGTAGGGGCAGATATACTGACAGGAAGAATCGATGAACTACTATGGCGCTTCATAGCGCTGTGTTAGTTCTTTGAGAACTATAAGCAGAGACCCGCGGGGGCTGGTCTGTTCTTAACTGTTACATGTTATACCCTGAATATGGGTGTAATTATGTAACCTGTTATCCTTTAAAGCAGTACTAAACCCAAAAGCCATAAAATTAAAACATTGATCACTGACAAGGGTACTTACAATGATCAGCTTTTATTTATTTAGGTAAAACTTTCCCAAAAGGAAAACAATTGTTTTGCTATAGCTGATTATAAAGTGCTGGAGTTTGGTTTTAATCTGTTAGTGTATTTAAATCCGTTAGTCCATCTAACTCCCCTCCCTGCAGACTGGTAATGCTGCTGTCCGAAGGTGTCTCTGTGCTCCTTTATCCAGAGCGTACGCCCCCTAATACAGGAGCTGTGTAATTGGCTGGATCATCAAGTGAAACAGAGAAAAGCCTAGAAAAAACTGATGTAACCACAACATCTAATTATTGGTAAACTGCAATTTTGTTGTTGAATTTAAAGTGGTTGTAAACCCTTATATGTACCAAGTGAAGTGACTAGCCACCGATGATACACAGAGATGACACAAATCCTACATCCCCTGTTTATCTGCAGCTCTCTCTTCTCTACAGTTGTTCAGTTGTTCATAGTGCAGAATTTATACAGCTTGTCTGAGCTTTCAGAAAGCAGGGGCTGGGGAGCTGAAGCTGCATTTAGTGAGAAGAGCTCTGAGCTGATTGGAGGAAAGGGACACACACCCCTTCACAGAGCTCACAGAAACAGAGCTGAGGCTGTCAATCACAGTCTGTGTGATGGAGATTGCTCCCCTGTCATCTTTGTTTCTCTTGGTGTCAGGAAAGCCTTTCAGAAGTGACAGATAATAGAGGAAGGAGGCAGCAGAGAGAAATTACACTTTTGATTGAGACAAGTACACACTATAGAGCCGGGGATGGCAACCCTTCGATTGCGATCTACCTGACGATTGCGTACAGGTGTATCATGATCAGGGCTGTGCCGATGCTTCCCTCCCCCAGCCCCCGCCGCTCTTCTTTTCAATAGCGGAGCAGATTGAGAGGCAAAACTGTTCTTAACCGGCAGGTGAGTGGTTGCTAGGCGGTTCTAGTAACCAATCATCAGCTTGTTAACATGAAAAGCTAACTCTGGCAGCTCCCGCCCCCGCTCCCGCCCTCCATCCAGCACTGTGCTGTCTCTCATGTACAGCTGGTGGAAGGTAGGAGAGATGTACCCACACGGCTGTGTGTTGTGAAGGGGGAAAATGTCACTACTTGTGGGGGATAAAGAACACTTTTTGTGGTGGGGGGGGAGCATGGGACACTACTGTGGGGGGGGGGGGGGGGGGGGCAGATACCTGACTTCATAAGCCCTTGGCGCAATCCCTTGGTTCTAGGATGTGTTCCTCCAGTGCACCCTAGGACCCCCGGATAGGATTTCAGTCCTCATCATCCACATACCACAGTGCAATACCCGGTGACCAAAGTTTGAGAAAGTCTGTTTGTATGTTGGTACTGCAGGACAGCTGTGGGTCCTCTGGAGTATCGGCCTATGCTGCAACAGTGATTGGTTTACATTTCTCTATACACAAGTGTATTCCCTCCTTGCCTCTTAGGGCTATCCTTACTTCCATTGTACTGCAGTATATAAAAAGTCTGTTCTTGGGTTTAGATACATTTTAAACATCTGTGTATAAGGCTTTATTCAGATGAGCGTTGACACCCGTTTTGTGTGCAGGTGGTATTTGTCATTGCGCCTACATCTGCCCTGAGCTGTGCGCATGCAGCCTATGGAGGCAGATGCAGCTGCTGTACGGAAACAGCTGGATGTCAGAATTTGATGTGTGCAGGAGCAGGTGCACAGATCCAAATGTACACTACCTTTCTTTCAGTTCTGTGCACCCACTCCTGCACACATGTCAGATTTTGACCTGCAGCTGAGTACAAGCAGCCGTTGTGTCTGCATCCACTTCTAGAAGTTGCCTGTGAGCAGCTCGGGGCGGATACAGGCACAATAACAAGGTGAGAAAAACAAAGCGGGCACACCGGCCTAGTGCATTACCTTAAAAAAAGTGTTTATTAAATAATAAAAGTAGGTACTGTACTCACAAAATGACAATACAGTCAAAGGTACATCTTGTAGGAACAGCTCAGTCCAATCTGCACTAGTGACTGAGCTGTTCCTACAAGATGTACCTTTGATTGTATTGTCATTTTGTGAGTACAGTACCTACTTTTATTATTTAATAAAGACTTTTTTTAAGGTATTGCACTAGGCCAGTGTGCCCTCTTTTTTGTTTTTCTCTACTCAGTATACTTTGGACTTCCCCCGATCATTTGAGGGCAGCAAGGCGTTCATATCCCAAGATATTCGTGATGTGGTCCCATCCATATAGAGTCCATCCCTAAGCGCAGGAGCATTTGGGTTTGCCATTTCTTTACAATAACAAGGTGGCCTGCACACAGAACAGGTGTCCACGCCCATCGGAAGCCTTCTACATGGATTCAGGCTTGGGAACAAATAATAAAATAAGACTCCAGGCAAATGGCTAAATACACCATTAAGATACATTCCCCTCAGCAAGTTGTACTTTCCAACTTCTTTGCTGGCTGCTCACTCTCTCCTTTTCCGACCTCCATTTTTTTTCTTTGTCTGTCTGGTTGGGTCTTCCAAGTATAAAGGTGGGCATGTGACTACATTGTCGGAATACAGATATTTTTACTGTTGTACCCTCCAAAGGATTTGGATTTTGGCCAGATTTGGATTCACATACCTCTGCTATGCCTATAGCCAGGAGGATCTCTACTCCTTGATCAGTTGTCCTGCTTCCTGGGACACTCCCTTATCATTAGAGGCGAGGATGAGTCAGGAAACGGGAATGTCATCTGACTGGCTGTGTATACAAGGTACATGAAGTGCAAGATTTCCTGACCAGAATTAAAATTCTTCTGGAAGTAAAGTGATAAACATAAATGTATTTCAACAGGGTATTTAGATATTTGCCTGAGGTTCCACTTAAAGAGATGGTGAACTCTGATAGCTGTGCCCAAAAAAAGGCAAGTAGAGGGCAAATGATTAATCACCAGTGCGCTCTGTAGTTTCTCTGCAGCTGATCTTTTCCCATTACTTACCATGCCTTCTTCGCCATTGCATCTATATGTGGGGGTGGCCATCTTGGTAGAGGCAGGGATTTGCTTCCTCATGTCAGAGCCTCCAGCCATGAGAGCATAGTGCAGCACAGAAGTGATATTACCAACTCTCAGCAGACTAGCAGTCCTGGTCAACAGTGCCTTAGATCTTGTATTGCAGACATACAGCTATGGGGCTGTAGGTACAGGAGTACCAAGGCATACTGACATACCAGGTGGTGTACTTCTATTTTTCAGGAGGAATTCCAGACAAAATGCATATTTCCAGGGTATTGCTTAGGATCAACTATTTATTAGATGTTTCTTAACACATGGCAGATCTTCTCTTTGATTTCAGGTCCACTTTAAAAAGCACATTGACCTTACATATAGTTTGCATTTGAACCGACAGTTGGACATTATAATAGTATAAAGTGACGTTAATGTGTATGGATTACCTTTTATACAGAGCTTTACAGTCTTTTCTTCTTTACTGTCCAGTGGGATATTTCATACTTTTTCTGTCCTTTAACATAATGCCAACCCTATGGTATAAGTCCTACTTAAAGCGGAACTAACCTCCCCTGCCTTCACCAGCATCAACCTCCTCACCCAGAATCCTTGGTCATCTTAATTGGCTGGGCTGGAATGATGTCATCCCATGCATGTGCACAGGAATTCATTCAAGCATGCAATGGGGTTGATTTACTAAAACTGGTGCACTCCATAATGTGCTTCAGCTGTGCATGGCAGCCAATCAGCTTGTTCAATTTAGGCTTTGAGAACACCCCGGTCACATCGGGTGTGATTTGGTATGCGATTTGCATGCCATGCGACTTACAAATCGTATGCCAAATCGCACCCTATTGTCCGCAATTGGAGCGGTCATATCGGTGCGGTTCCGACTTGGTCTGTAGTTGGTTTCCAAGGTAGCACATGCACTACTTTTGGTGCAATTTGAATGGATATCTGTAAGCGGTATTTTACTGCATCCGAGTATACGAAAATACCGCAAAAAAAAAACGTTTGAGTTCACTAAAAAAACGCTACTAAAATACTGCACGAGTTATTTTGTCAAGTCATGCGGTATTTTATTAGTGAAAACCATGTGTTAATGTTTCAGCTGTCAGCGGGGTTCCCCACTGACAGCTGAATGTAAAAGAAAGAATTGCCGGCTATTAAAAAAATGGCATGGGGTCCCCCCTTCATCCATACCAAGCCCTTTGGGTCTGGTATGGATTTTGAGGGGAGCCCCCATGCCAGAATTAAAAAAAAAAAAAATGGCGTAGGGGTCTCCCCGAAAATCCATACCAGACCCTTATCCGAGCATGCAGGTCAGGAAAGAGGGGGGGATGAGTGAGGCCCCCCCTCCTGAACCATACCAGGCCACATGCCCTCAACATGGGGTGCCCCTCCCAAAGCACCTTGCTCCCACGTCTTTTTTTTTGTGAATGGGTAGCGGTGCCATGTACCCCATACTCATTCACATAGAGGGGTGGGGGGCTGGGATCTGGGGATCTTCCAGATTCCAAAAAGGCCCCCGCCCGCAGACCACCACAGCCCAGGGGAGCCCCCCATGTTGAGGGCACATGGCCTGGTATGGTACTCGCTCGTCTCCCCCCCCCCCCCCTTTCATGACCTGCCGGGTTGCATGCAGATAAGGGTCTGGTATGGGTTTTGGGGGTGACCCCCATGCTATATTTATTTATTTTTAATTTTGGTATGGGGGTTCCCAGTGACTTGCAGGGCTGCATGCTAAGCTAAGGGTCTGGTATGGATTTTGGGGGGACCCCCACGCCATTTTTTATTTTTACATTTTGGTGTGGGAGTTTCCCTCAAAATCCAAACCAGACCCAAAGCGCTTGGTATGGATGGAAGGGGGACCCCACAACGTTTTTTCATAATTTTTTTAATTGCCTGCAATTCTTTATTTTACAATCCGCTGTCAGTGGGGAACCCCCCTCACCGCTGAAACATTTTAATGCATGGTTTTCACTACCAAAATACCGCATGACTTGATAAAATACCTTGTGCTGTATTTTAGTAGCGTTTTTAGTGAATTCAAATTTTTTTTGTTTTTTTTACATGCTATGCAGTATTCTAGGGCATACTCGGATGCGGTAAGATACTACTTAGTGAATTGTGCCCTGTGTCAGATGTCTTGCAAATCGCGCCTGAAATCGGTGGTTCACCTGACTTTGAAATAGTGCGACTTGCAGTGAAGTTGCACAATTTCAAAGTCGGGCTTGATGTGACCGGGGGCTAAAACCTGGAAGCTGATTGGTTTCTGTGCACAGCTGCACCCGATTTTGCATTCTCCAGTCTTAGTAAATCAACCCCTATGTCTCTTTTGCAATAAAGAGTTTGCCTGATTGCAATTATTTATTTATTTATTTAGTTCTGCTTTAAATCAGGTGTGTGACGTGTATGTTACCACTGCAGAGGCCTGAATTATGTACTGTAAATATTTGTCCCTCTTCAGAGCTGAGCACTGCGCTCACCTCCACTCCAAACTGTAAAGCTGTGAATGGGAAGGCGGAGAGCAGTGACAGTGGAGCCGAGTCCGAGGAGGAAGATGTCGGGAGACAGGAAGAGGAGGAAGATGACGAGGAAGGAGAAACAGAACAAAGTGAACAAGGTGGTAACATTTTTAGAAAATTAAGATGTGCATTACACTGTAGTATTCACACCTTTCAGATTTAGTGGCAATACTGGGAAATAATGAATTATGCCCTGTATTAAATTTTGTTTTTTCTCCATAACCCTCTCAGCTCCAGTGGTCTATTCGGTATATCTCCAGCCAAAACCTTTTTTTTCCTTTCAGGAAATAGTAGGGAGCGGTTAAAACCATTGTTTCTTTTTTTTGTGTCCCATCAGGGAGAGATTTTCCTTCACTACTTGGCCTGGTGACACAACAGGAAGTGGGAGGAAATCTCTCCAAAGTGAGAGAAATTCCCTCTTAAAGTGGTTCTAAAGGCAATTTTTTAAAAATGAAAATAAAAAAGATGTTATACTTACCTGCTCTGTGCAACAATACTGCACAGAGCCAGTCCCTTACCTCTTCTTTGGTTGTTCCCTGCTTGCACTTGCAAGCCATGTGCTATTGGGGCACCCGTGCGGGCGTGTTCCTGAGCCCGGCTGTGTGCGTCCATAGACATATGCACCATGGCTGCCAACATCTCCCACTCCCTGCTCACATTTGACTGATAGCAGCAAGAGCAAATTACTCCTACTTTCGGTGTAGCCTTGTGAGAGTAGGAAGGGGGGGGGGGGGGGGGGGGGAGAGCTGCAGCCGGATGCAGGGCTGGATTAATAGAGGACTAGGGTAAGTGTTTAGAGGAGGAGAGAAGGGGGTGTTTTGTGTGTGTGTGTGTATGTGTGTGTATGTATGTATGTATGTATGTGTGTGTATGTATATGTGTATACATACATACATACATACATACATACATACATACATGTATGTATATGTGTGTGATTTTTGCATTTCTGGGTAGGGGGTGTGCACACGAGCCACCCTAACCACGCTGCCATTGGCGGCTACGGATATCAATCACCAGGTCCTGGCCGGAGATTCTCCGCTGGCACCCAGCAATCGCCAAGTATCACTCACAGTGGAGAGACCTGTGTGCAAACACAGATCTCTCGCCTGCCAGCATTAACATGCTGTGTATTTCTCTGCACAGCAAATACACAGTATGTTTCCCCAGTAAAACAGCACACAGTTAACCCTTTGATCACCCCAGATGTTAACTCCTTCCTGCCCAGTGTCATTAGTACAGTGTCAGTGCTTTTTATTAGCACTGATCACTGTATTCGTGGCAGTTAGTCAGTTCCCCCCTAGTGTCAGAATGCCAGCCGCAGTCCCACTAGAAGTTGCTTATCGCTGCCATTACCATAAATAAAAATAAACATTTCAGCATATATACCGCCATTTGTAGAGGATATAACTATCACGTAAAACCAGTTCATTTACACGTATTGGGATTTTTTTTTTTTTAGCAAAGACATGTAGCCGAATACATTTTGGCATAAATTTATGAAGAAATTATTATTTTTTTTTTTTTTTAATTAAAAAAAATTTTACTGGATAGGTTTTATAGCAAAAAGTCAAAAATATTAATTTGTCTTCTTTTATAAATTGTCAGTTTTTTTGTTTATAGTGCAAAAAATTAAAAATGCACAGATGATCAAATACCACTGAAAGAAAGCTCTATTTGTGCGAAAAAAAGGACCTAAATTACATTTATGTACAGCATTGCATGACTACACAATTGTCAGTTAACCACTTCCAGTCCACCCTTTAGCAGAAGTACTGCTACAGGGTGGCACGGGTGTGCAAAATCACGTGTGTATATATGTGATTTTGCATTTCTGGGTAGGAGGCGCTGCCTTAGCTGCGCTGCCTTTCGTGGCCTCGGCTGTCAATCCCCCGGGTCCTGGCCGGTGATTACTCGCCGGCACCCGTTGATTGCCGAGAATCCCTGACGGGGTGGGGGGGAGAACTGTTTGTAAACAATACAGTTCTCTCCTCTGTCAGCTCCTGCACACTGCTTTGCATGGCTGTGCATAGTACATCCATACTAAGCAATGTGCTTACAGTGAAGTACGCACACAGTTAACCCTTTGATCGCCCCACATGTTAACTCCTTTCTGCCTAGTGCCATTAGTACAGTGATTTTTATTAGCACTGCTCACTGTATTGGTGCCACTAGGGATGTTATTGACACGAAGTCCATTCCCCCCCCCCCAGTGTCAGAATGCTCGCCGCAGTCCCGCCGCCATTACTAGTAAGAACAAAAAATAAATATCCCAGTATATATACTGCCATTTTTGTAAATGCTATAACTTTCACATAAACCAATTAATTTACACATATTGGGATTTTTTTTTATAGCAAAGACATGTAGCAGAATACATTTTGGCCTAAATTTATGACTAAATTTGATTTTTTTTTGTATTTTTGTTTTTTTTACTGGACATGTTTTAATAGCAAAAAGTAAAAAATATTGTGGGTTTTTTTTTTTTTTTTTTTTTTTCTTCAAAATTGTCAGTCCTTCCTTCCCTTTTTTTTTTTTTTTTTTTTTTTTTTTTTTTTTTTTTTTTTTTTCATAGTGCAAAATAAAAAAACGCACAGGTGATCAAATGCCACCAAAAGAGAGCTCTATTCGTGGGGCGTAAATTTCATTTGGGTGCAGCATTGCATGACCGCACAATTGTCAGTTAAAATAACACAGCGCCGAAACTTAAAAAAAATGGCCTGATCAGGAAGGGGGGGGGGGGGTAAATCCTCTGGAGGAAAAAAAAAAAGTTGATCACTACTGAAACAAATGAATGTACAGCTTATAACCATGCGAAACATATGTCACAGGTAATATTTTTAGTAGCTCAGTTGTGCTAGTGATTGATCACGAACAGTAGTAATCATTGTGAATAACATTCTTCCTATCCCTGGATGGCTATCCATTGTATCTATGGAGTAATCATGATAGACAGCCAGACTGGACTTTAAACATGGCTTCCTCTTTTCATCTCCAATACATTGGGGAGAGGTTTATTAGATAAATATCAACATTGTTTCGTGATTTCAGTCCAGTTCACAGGAAGTGACAAGGACCCTGCATTTCTGGCATGATCCACAGGTATTTTCTGTACTTTTTGAAAATGTTCTTAGCCTGAAAAACTAATGCAGCGAGCACATTTAAGGACTGGTAAGCTGCAATTTTATTAACGTTTTTTTTTTTTTTTTCTCTTTAGTCCATTGCACATAGCCAGTCCCTTACCTTTTCATTGACGCTACCCTACTGGCACCCTCTCCTCGCAAGCCATGTGCTATGGGGTCACCTGTGTGGGCGCGCTCCTTAGCTGGGCTGTGTGCATCCATAGACACACACACAGCGTGGCTCGGCCATGCCACCCACTCCCTACTCACAAGATTTTGCCTGATCGCAGCAGGAGCCAATGGCTCCCACTGCTCTTAGTGTAGCCTGTGAGAGCAGGAAGAGGGGAGAGAAGAGCTGCAGTAGGACCCAGGGCTAGAATGATAGCGTGTTATGATTTCAGTCCAGTTCACAGGAAGTGACAAAGTATACTGCTTTTCTGGCAGGATCAGTGGGTATTTTTTTGTACTTGTTAAAAATGTTCTTCGTCTGAAAAAAAAAAAAAGAAAACGAATGCAGATAGCAAATCTAAGGACTGGTAAGCTGCAATACATTAAAGTTTTGTTCTTGAATATAGAAGTCGTTTAAACTAGTAGTATGTAGCAGCAATCATTGACCGCATTCTGTGAGATTATCCAGTAAAACCTGCTATGTTTCGATTATACAGTATGGAGACATTTGTTCCATCTGTGTTGGAACCGATCACTAAACCCATCTACTTCACACCCATATAGGTTTAGCTCAATACATTCTTTTTTGTCTACAATATTGATGCCTCTAACAAATTTCAATCCTTAATTTTAGCATCCTAAACAAAATTGAAAAAAAAAAAAAAGATGTGTTACACATTCCAGAGTCATTCTCTCCCTCCTAACTGGTGTCCCCATTATTTCTGGTACAGAGGAGAAGGCTGTAAAGCAAGATTCGGCTCCAGAGCCTTGCCCAGGTGGAATAGTGGCCAATGGTTTACTCATCAACCACAGTTACTATATTCCAGACATTCCCATTCACTCACCAACCAAGTCTGATCTCAACAAGATGGAGGAGGAGGTGGCTGGAAAACAGCCCAACACAGAGGATGATGGATATAATGATGTGGATGGAAAGAAAGGTAAGGGGCAATCCTGAAAAGTGCACCTCACCATCTTAGCCACTATATGACCATGTATACAGTGGATGTACCCTTGTGTGTAATAACCCAATGTTCATAAGATTTCAGCCTATCGCCTTTATCTGGGTTCTCAACATCACTGGTGTCACGGATTCCTAGGGATTTGATTTAGCTGATGAGTGAGTTAAGCTGCCCACGCATATTAAAGGATAAGTTCACCATATTCAGTGTGTAATATTTAACATGTTATTGCTGCAGTTGCCCCTGTGCCCCTCCTGAGTCCCCGTTGTGACAGCAGGCCAGGGATCTTCTCCGCCTCGCCTGCTGTCACAATTTAAAAAAAGACTAGGCCGTGTGGGGCTCTGCCCACCTGGCTGCATCGTTCATTTGCAGAGTTCTGTGAATGGGATGGCTGATGGTTTGTAGTTACCAATGGGAGCACTGTGGTTCATTGATTCTTTCTGTCGTTGTGTAACAACCTATTTGTACGAGGTATGAGCAGACACTGTACACTGAGAGTCTGCAAGAGCCCTGCTGATCGCGGATGCAATGCTTTTCAGGCTCCAAATAATTTAAAAAAATTAATTAAATGCACATTATTTTTTCCCTGCAAAAAATGCGCATTTATTATTATTTATAATAAGAATAATTATTATTTTATTGAATTTTTATTTTATTTGTTTAAAGGTGACCTTATCCTTTTTAACATTTCTCTTGTTTAGCCCCCATAGGGCAGTGCTGGCCTGTACCTACATCTGATTGGATGCAGGCACTGTGCAGCCGAGAATTTTCTGACCTATATAGGCTCCATATCAGTACAGGTTAGAGCTTCCACATGTCAAAGTACGGTCCCCACAACCCCTTTCCAGGATGTGCCAGGTATTTCCAAGAGCTCTGACTGGTGAATAGGGCAAAGGGACAGGTTTATTTTAAATGCACTGAAACAGTCACATTGAGTTTATGTACCTCTGATTTATGATGATCAAGACTTAGGAGCAAAAAAGACCTTCACTGTCCCAACTCACTCTCTTGGTTGCATGCTAGGACTTCTTATCTCTAAACATGTCAATTTTTATAAATAATAGATCAAAGGAACTATATATTTTACAACATCCATTGCTACTCATACCATTTATTGCATTGAATGTGGTGTTCAGAATAAGAATTGTATAATGGTGGACAGCGCAAACGTAAAGTATTTTGAAAATTTACATCTTCAAACATCAAAATGGAACTACAGGTTAATAAAAAAAAAAAATAAAACATTCCTCCTCCTCTCCTCCAGCCACAGCGGTGAGCGGTCCTTAATTCTGCACTGAATGGCGCTCATTTGATGTGTGAGCACTGTTTAGCACAGTAGTACAGGACCCCATAGAAGTGTGTCTGAGACAGCCTAGGATCACAGGAAGTGGGTTGAATGATGCTGGCTGTCGTTCAGTCTAGAAGACTATTGACATCCAGTGGTGGAGAAGACTTTGGGCAAATTCACAATCTTTACTGCTTTGACAGATCTCCGATGCCAGATGCTCTAGGTACAGTGTTGGGAGTGATTCAGCTCAATGCTCTGTGCTGCCTGACATTGCATTGTGATTCAGCGTGGTGCACTGCAAGAAAATGCAGTATGTTTACATTTTATCGCAACACACTGCAGCGCAGTGCGAGGCTGCATTGCATTGTGAATGGGACACATAGGAAACCATTTTGTTTCCTGTGTGTCCTTGTGGTGACAGACCTTTTACCATGCGGTGACTTGGCCAATTGTTTCCTATATGCCCCATTCACTCTGCAACGCAGCCTAGCACTGCACAAAAATGCAGACATTCTGCATATAATCACAGCGCACTGGCCCGAATTGCACTGCAATGTCGGGCAACACAGCGCACTGCACTAACATTGCAGTGAATGAAGTGTACGCTTTGTACACTTCAAATAAAACTCTGGAACAAAAAAAGAAGCAATGCGATGTAGCGCAGTCAGCAATGGAGAGCTGGTGGTAAAGCGCTGCAGCAGCTCTCCTAATAGTGTGACTTTGCCCTTACTGTTGGGAATTGCACCTGATTGAAGGCAAGTGTGTTGGAAAAAGCTGGTTCTTCTCTTTTAAATAGGCTATTTCTTTTAAGTCGGCCAATAAAGAGAACTCCCCTACAGTTTTTTGTATTGACAGTTTGTAATGTACATCATGGTTGTCATATATTACTGTCTGTGTTGTAGTGCTGCTGATGGATTTCACTTGACATTGACTTTTCTCTGTCAGTGCAAGGTTCTCAGTCTGTTTTGACTGGCTGCTGAAAAGCAATGAGAGATTGTGTTTGTGTTTGCTTTTTGTCTCCCCAGGCTTCCACACAAAGGCAAACCTCAATCATATAGAGATGGCTGCTAGACAGCGACTTTGCGTGTTTTTAAAATGCAGTCTTGAAATTTCTGCATTAAGCACAAACATGAAAGTTCAAACTTTTTATGTTAATGTGACAATGATGAACTTGCTGAAAATACAGTGCAGTCTCCCTTTACCCCGGAGTGCTGTGTGTGCCAGACAAGCCTCGGGAGTTCAGGGAGGAGGAGGGGGATGGTTGGAACACTGTACAAATAATACTTTAATCTCCCAGGTCTTAATTAGTTTTCCTACAAAACTCTGGCACTGTATGCATGAGGGAGAAGTGAAACGGAGCCGAGCAACGTGCTCCAAGCAGAGTATCTTTAGGACATTATTTTGCTGGTACTGCCATTCATGAATGGATAGACCCTAGAGAAGATGGGAGACAACTCAAATTTTCTAGGCTTATGGGCTACCTGGTTATGTATTGAGAAAAACCTGTTGAAAAAGATGAAGCCCCTCCTAAGACCTCTGCAATCCTGATCTCCAGCTCACAGGTGCTTATTCCATCGGGGTTTGTTCCTCCTGCACAAAATTCAGCAAAGTTCTGGAGCCGCTCACCACTTCCGAAGGGTGAATTTCAAAGTTGTTTAACACAAGTGCAGACACTCCACCCGGGATCCCCCCTCTATCGTGTCTTCTTCTCTAATGGGGCATCATAGAGCTCTACAATTGGGCTTCAGTAGGTGGTGAAATGTGTTGAAGGAGTGTCTGTGCCAGTGCTAAACAAAACCCATTAGAAGTGGTGAGCAGCTCCAGAACTTTGCTGAATAGTATGAGAAACGTTGGAAGTTTCAGAAAAATCTGTTATGTTACCTTATTTGTACCCCCTACCCATAAGCACAGACCGTTTTCAGCTCGTTTCAATGTTTCTCTGAGTACAGGTGTACTCTAAAGCCATGTTCTTCAAGTAGAAGGTTGGGACCCAAAAGTGGGTCATGACCGGGGTGGACTGGACCGTTGGGCAAGTGTCCTGCAGGCCTCACTAATGCCCTAATACAACATCCGGTGCCCTGACAACCTAGCTTAATAAACACCGGCCACACTAATAATTGTTAAGACGGCCGTGATCGCAACTATGGCCAGCTTTAATATTTGTACTATTGCGGTCAGCTGGAACAGAATGAACATTGAACACGACCTCAGAGTTGCTGTGTCTACCATTACCCCAGACTTTGAGACACTTATCAAGAGCAAGAAGCATCCCCATTTTCCCCATTAGTTCTAATTAATTTCATATGTTTCAATTACCGTTTTTATTTTATTGGGTTTTTACCTCAATGGCACTTTCAGTTTTACTAGTGCTGTGATTACTGCGCTAACCATTTTGGAATGAAGTAGTTTGTTTACTGTTTAAAAAGTGCATATACATTGTAGAATACTGCGCAAGTTGTATTGTGGAATAAATGACAATGTTTTAGAAATTAAATTATTTTTGGGTTGCAACTTAATGACCAAGGACAAATGTGGGTCCTGAGGTTCCACAGGTTGAGATCCACTGCTCTAAAGTAAACTGACGAAAAATGCAGGGCCTGCCATTGCTGACCTACACTAGTTACCTAGCGGTTATGATCAGCCTCCATGATTCTGTCTGGAAAACCTATATGTAGCACAGAAACCTGCTTTTCCCTGTTGGTTGATGGACCTCTGTGCTTTGGGATGGGATTGGGATACTGGGTGGTTTGTAAAGCACCTGATTTGGCACTTGCTTGAGCAGTATCATACCATTTTTGTATCCAACCCAAACTCTACCCTTCGACATCTTGTGCAAAGGTTAAAAACGTAATATGAGTAGTGCAGAGAGCAATGTCATTGGGCATTGGCTTTATGAATCTTTGGGCACTATCACACTACTGTGCTGCAGTGTTTCATGCACTGCCAGTGCCAGCGTAGCTATGTGTGGCGCAGCATAGTTGTGCTTTCCAGTTTTCTTGTGTCCCGTGTGTTTGCTGTTCTTTCAGAAAATGCACCAAACACGAGGGACACAATATAACCCTAAGGGAAAACCCAGCTAACCTGCTGCAAACGTGCGGGAAAACTGCAGCGCAATAGTGTGAAAGCGGGCTTTATCATGCCTTCCTGAACCAGTGAATTTTGAAGAAAAGGAGCATGGTATAACAGGAGGAGAAAAAAAAGTGTGTGTGTGTGTATACATATATATGTGTGTGTATGTGTATATGTATGTATGTGTGTGTGTGTGTGTGTGTGTGTGTGTGTGTGTGTGTGTGTGTGTATGTGTGTGTATATATATATGTATGTATGTATGTGTGTGTGTGTGTGTATATGTATGTATGTATGTGTGTGTATAAGATGTGTATGTATGTATGTATATATTTATATGTATATATATATATATATATATAATTAGCTTTTCTGTGGTCTTGGGGGCTCAGGTAGGATTTCTAAAGGTATAGATACACTTAATATTTACAGCCCAGTCCATGCAGGCACAGTTTGAGCACTGAATTAACAGTCCAGGGATGAGTACATGTTCTTTAGGTGTGAAAGTTAATGAGAACAGTTTTGTTTTGCAGATAATGATTGCACAGAGGATGTTGCTGCAATGCATCACTTGACGAGCGACTCAGACAGCGAGATCTTCTGTGACTCTATGGAGCAGTTTGGGCAAGAAGATGTAAGTGGGATGTCCCAGTGTGACCGAATCTGCCATTATGCAGACATGGGTGACTGTATCAGTGTTTTGTCAAGTTTTTTCTCTACCAAGAGGCCTTCTTTTAAAGGTGGTTTTATATATATATTTTATATAATTTATAAATTTTTTTTTTTTTTTTTACCTTCACTATTTACGGTTTGCTGTGTACATATTAAAGTGGTTCTAAAGGCAGACGGTTTTTTTTTGTTTTGTTTTTTTTTTTTGTTTTTTTTCCTTTAATGCATTCTTTACGTTAAAGTGTTACTAAACCCAGGACCCTGCATTCACTATATCCGGTCTCCCACAGTACACACAACATGGAATTGCAATTATTTTAGCAAATATAAACTACTAAATAACTTTTCTCATCAGCAGTTAGAGCAGTCTTGTGACTTCTACAGTGCATCCAGAAAGTATTTACAGCGCTTAACTTTTGCCACATTTTGTTATGTTACAGCCTTATTCCAAAATGGATTACATTTTTTTTTTTTCTCAACATTCCACAAACAATACCCCATAATGACAACCTGAAAGAAGTTTGTTTTGAAATCTTTACAAATTTTTAAACCTAAAAAACGAAAAAAAAACACATGTACATAAATATTCACAGCCTTTGCCATGACACTCAAAATTGAGCATCTGGTGCATCCTGTTCCCACTGTTCATCCTTGAGATGTTTCCACAACTTGATTGGAGTCCACCTGTGGGAAATTCAGTTGATTGGACATGAATAGGAAAGGCATAAACCTGTCTACAGAAGGTCTCACAGTTAACAGTTCATGTCAGAGCTCAAACCAAGCCATGAAGTCCAAGGTATTGTCTGTAGACCTCCGAGACAGCATTGTACCAAGGCACAGATCTGGGGAAGGGTACATAAAAATTTCTGCAGCATTGAAGGTCCCAATGAGCACAGTGTCCTCCATCATCCGTAAATGGAAGAAGTTTGGAACCACCAGGAATCTTCCTAGAGCGAGCCGCCCGGCCAAAATGAGCTATCGAGGGAGAAGGACCTTAGCCAGGGTGGCAACCAAGCACCCAATGGTCACTCTGAAAGAGCTCTAGCATTTCTCTGTGGAGAGAGAACTTTCCAGAAGAACAAACATCTCTGCAGCACTCCACCAATCAGGCCTGTATGGTAGAGTGGCCAGTCAGAAGCCACTCTTCAGTAAAAGGCAAATGGAAGTCTGCCTGGAGTTTGCCAAAAGACACCTGAGGGACTCTCAGACCATGAGAAACATAACTCTCTGGTCTGATGAAACAAAGATTGAACACTTTGGTCTGAATGCGAAGTGTCATGTCTGGAGGAAACCAGGCGCCGCTCACTACCTGGCCAATACCATCCCTGCAGTGAAGCATGGTGATGGCAGCATCATGCTGTGGGGATGTTTTTCAGCAGCAGGAACTGGGAGACTAGTCAGAATCGAAGGAAAGATGAATGCAGCAATGTACAGAGACATCCTTGATGAAAACCTGTTCCAGAGCGCTGTGGACCTTAGACTGGTGTGACGGTTCATCTTTCAACAGGGCAACGACCCTAAGCACACAGCCCACATAACAAAGGAGTGGCTACGGGCCAACTCTGTGAATTTCCTGGAGTGGCCCAGACTTGAACCCGATTGAACATCTCTGGAGAGATCTGAAAATGGCTGGTTGTACACCGACGCTCCCCATTCAACCTGATGGAGCTTGAGAGGTACTGCACAGAAGAATGGGAGAAATTGGCCAAAAATAGGCGTGCCAAGGTTGTAGCATCATACTCAAAACGACTTGAGGCTGTAATCGGTGCTAAAGGGGCTTCAACAAAGTATTGAGCAAAGGCTGTGAATAGTTATGTACATGTGGGGTTTTTTTTTTTTTTTTTTTTTTTTTTTTTAATAAATTGCAAAGATTTCATTGGAATAAGGCTGTAACATAAAATGTGGCAAAAGTTAAGCGCTGTGAATACTTTCTGGATGCACTGTCCAGCAGAGCACTGGTTAAAGCTGGTAGGAGGAGTTTTCATTCACCCCTGATTGTCCTATGATGCTGCAGTACCCCTAACCCTCTGTCTGGACAGCACAGATGGGCCCTGTGCTGATCATATGCACCCTCCCAAAGAAAAAAAAAAGCTCTCTAGCAGAGTGACTCCACACGATATGTCTTATGTGATAGGAGGGGGTTACTGGAAGACTGGGAGGATCAGAGAAGACAGGATCATACAGCCTTTTTGCACAATGCAGAGGATTAAGCCCGTAGGTTCCACAGTGTGTATATGCAGTAAAGCATGCTTGTTATACTGACTGATTTTACTGTTGTGGATTTAGTAACACTTTAAGGTAAAAAAAAAAAAAAAAATATCCTTCTGCAAGCAGCCCCCCCTTGCTATGGGGGGCACTCGTGGGCTTGCTCCTGAGCTGGCTCTGTGTGTCCCAAAGACACACAGGGTGGGGCTCGCACAGGGTAGTGCATGCACAAGGTTGGGGAAGGTGGGAGATGCACAGGGTAGTGCATGCAGAAGGTTTTTCACCACCACTTGCACGCCAGAAGATTTGACCTTCTACCTGACCAGGCCACTTTTTGCTATACGGTGCTGCACTACTTTAACTGACAATTGTGTGGTCATGCAACACTGTACACAAATGAAATTTTATGTAATTTTTTCACACAATTAGAGCTTTCTTTTGGTGGTATTTGATCATTGCTGGATATTTAATTTTTTGTGCTATAAACGAAAAAATACCAAAAATGTTGGAAAACAAAATATTTTTTACTTTTTGCTCTAGAACACATTCAGTAAAAAAATTTCCAAAATGTATTCTGCTACATGTTTTTGATAATATACACTTATTGGGATTTTTTTTTTTAAGTGGCTTGCATGGAGATTGTAGCATCTACAAATAATGGTATAGATACTGAAATTTTTTTTTTTGTCTTGTTATACTAGTAATAGCAGTGATCAGCAACTTATAGCAGGACTGTGATAATGTGGCGGCAATCTGACACTGGGTGGGAACTGACTAACTGCCCCTGACATCTCAAGTGACAGTGATACAGTGATCAGTGCTAATAAAAAGCACTGTTACTGTACTAATGAGACTTAGCAGGAAGAGGTTAACATCTGGGGCGATCAAAGGGTTGACTGTGTGCGGTTTTATTAGAGTACTTTGTGCTGTTTTACTAGGGGATGTGCTGGTTTTTATGCCCTGCTTTGCAGAGCTCTCCCCTGTTACTCACTCCGCTGATCACCTGGTTCCAGCCATGAATTGCTGGCTGGGATTCAGTGATTGGCATATAAGGGTGCCAATAACCGCACGGCCGGTGGGCATGTGTGCACAGCCAGCCCGCACTGTAGCAGTAAAGCTACAGTGCGCAGTCAGTATGTAGTTAATCCAAAGATGCATTAGGGTGAAAACACTTTCTGCCTTTTGAGTCATTTCAAAAATGGGGAAAGAAGCTATTTCTGCATTACACAATAGAGAAATGTTCATTTTAACTTTTCTTAAAGTTCAAATAAAGGTCTAATACTCACCTGTCCAACAGTCCCTTGCCGACACTGGCATCTTTTTCTGAGTGCCAGTCTTTGGCCAGGCCAGCGCAGGATGACATCAGTTCTGTGCATGCGCAGGAGCTAATTATCTCAGAAACAGTCCCGGTGCAGTAAGTCGAGCTGGTCTTGCGCAATTCCATTTAAAGCGCGAGAGAAAACTGCGATCAGGTAGGTGGGGGCATTACTTGTCAGTTTTGCAATAAAAGACTGCCTGCACACTGTTTTACAGAAGAACCTCTGGTTCGCTTTAATGGATTTGTGAACCCAAGAAAACGTTTAATATATGGCAGCTCATCGGTCTGTAGATGTTTTGGCTGCATTAGTTTTTTCTTTTTTTTTTTTTTTTTCAGGCAGGAAACATTTTAAGCAAGTACAGATAATACCTGTTGATTGTGCCAGAAATGCAGTGTCCTTGTCACTTCCTGTGAGCCGAACTGAAAGCAAAGACTTTATCTGCCTTCCAAGCTGTATTCTGTAAACTTTAAGTTCTTATCCCCATCTAGTGGAGATTAATATAGGAAGATCTGTTTTGAAGAGCAAATCAGGAGAGCAGCCTGGGTGACAACCATGGCTCTCTCTGCATAGATACAGTGAGTGTAACCATCCTGCGTCAGGGTCAGGATGTGTATTACTGGTAGGGTAACCAGGTGAAAATAAAAGAAAATGGCATGAAAGAAAAATAATGCAGGCACCGCACCTAATGTCTGATAAGCTTAAAAAAAAAAATATATATATATACAGTATCTCACAGAAGTGAGTTCACCCCTCACATTTTTGTAAATATTTTATTCTATCTTTTCATGTGACAACACTGAAATAACAACACTTTGCTACAATGTAAAGTATTGAGTGTACAGCTTGTATAACAGTGTAAATTTGCTGTCCCCTCAAAATAACTCAACACACAGCCATTAATGTCTAAACCGCTGGCAACAAAAGTGAGTACACCCCTAAGTGAAAATATCCAAATTGGGCCCAAAGTGTCAATATTTTGTGTGGCCACCATTCATTTCCAGCACTGCCTTAACCCTCTTGGGTATGAAGTTCACCAGAGCTTCACAGGTTGCCCCTGCAGTCCTCTCCCACTCCTCCATGACAACATCACGGAGCTGGTGGATGTTGGAGACCTTGCGCTCCTCCACCTTCTATTTGAGGATGCCCCACAGATGTTCAATAGGGTTTAGTTCTGGAGACATGCTTGGCCAGTCCATCACCTTTACCCTCAGCTTCTTTAGGAAGGTAGTAGTGGTCTTGGAGGTGTGTTTGGGGTCGTTATGTTGGAATACTGCCCTGCGGCCCAGTCTCCGAAGGGAGGGGATCGTGCTCTGCTTCAGTATGTCACAGTACATATTGGCATTCATGGTTCCCTCAATGAACTGTAGCTCCCCAGTGCTGGCAGCACTCATGCAGCCCCAGACCATGACACTCCCAACCACCATGCTTGACTGTAGGCAAGACACACTTGTCTTTGTACTCCTCACCTGGTTGCCGTCACACACGCTTGACACCATCTGAACCAAATAGGTTTATCTTGGTCTCATCAGACCACAGGACATGGTTCCAGTAATCCATGTCATTAGTCTGCTGGTCTTCAGCAAACTGTTTGCAGGCTTTCTTGTGCATCATCTTTGGAAGAGGCTTCCTTCTGGGACAACAGCCATGCAGAAGAATTTGATGCAGTGTGCAGCGTATGGTCTGAGAACTGACAGGCTGCCCCCCCCCCCACCCCCACCCCTTCAACCTCTGCAGCAATGCTGGCAGCACTCATACTTCTATTTCCCAAAGACAATCTCTGGAGATGACGCGTGCACTCAACTTCTTTGGTTGACCATGGTGAGGCCTGTTCTGAGTGGAACCTGTCTTGGTAAACCAATGTATGGTCTTCGCCACCGTGCTGCAGCTCAGTTTCAGGGTCTTGGCAATCTTCTTATAGCCTAGGCCATCTTTATGTAGAGCAAAAATTCTTTTTTTTTTTTAGATCCAAATTTAACACACCTTCTCCCCATTCACACCTGAAATCTTGTAACACTGAGTTACAAGACACCAGGGAGGGAAAATGGTTAATTGGTCCCAATTTGGACATTGTCACTTAGGGGTGTACTCACTTTTGTTGTCAGCAGTTTAGACATTAATGGCTGTGTGTTGAGATATTTTGAGGGGACAGCAAATTTACACTGTTATACAAGCTGTACACTCACTACATCACATTGTAGCAAAGTGTCATTTCTTCAGTGTTGTCGCATGAAAAGGTAATAAAATACTTACAAAAATGTGAGGGGTGTACTCACTTCTGTAAGATTGTGTGTATATGTATATATAGATAAACACACACACACAGCCTTGAAAAAGTATTCATGCCCCTTGAAATTTTCCACATTTTTGTCATATTACAACCAAAAACGTAAATATATTGTATTGGGATTTTATGTGATAGACCAAACCAAAGTGGCACACAATTGTGAAATTAAAATGAATTTTCAAATAAATATCTGACATATGTGGCGTGCATTTGTATTTAGCCCCCTTTACTCTAATACCCCTAACTAAAATCTAGTGGAGCCAATTGCCTTCAGAAGTCGGTATAAATACAGCTGTTCTGTGAAGCCTTCAGAGGTTTGCTACAGAACAGTAGTGAACAAATGGCATCATGCAGGTCAAGGATAAAGTTGTGGAGATGTTTAAAGCAGGGTTAGATTATAAAAAAAAATATCCCAAGCTGTGAACATCTCACTGAGCATTGTTTAATCCATCATCTGAAAATGGAAAGAGTATGGCACAACTGCAAACCTACCAAGACATGGCCGTCCATCTAAACTGACAGGACAGGCCAGGCAAGGAGAGCATTAACCAGAGAAGCAGCCAAGAGGCCCATGGTAACTCTGGAGGAGCTGCAGAGATCCACAGCTCAGGTGGGAGAATCTGTCCATAGGACAACTATTAGTTGTGCACTCCACAAATCTGGCCTTTATGGAAGAGTGGCAAGAAGAAAGCCATTGTTGAAAGAAAACCAAAAGAAATCCTGTTTGCAGTTTGCGATAAGCCATGTGGGGGACACCAAATGTGTGGTGGAAAACTAACACTGCACATTACCCTGAACACACCATTCTCACTGTGAAACGTGGTGGCAGCATCATGTTGTGGGGATGTTTTTCTTCAGCAGGGTCAGGGAAGTTGGTCAGAGTTGATGGGGAATGGATGGAGCCAAATACAGGGCAACCTTTAGAAGAAAACCTGTTGGAGTCTGCAAAAGACTTGAGACTAGGGCGGAGGTTCACCTTCCAGCAGGACAACGACCCTAAACATCCAGCCAGAGCTACAATGGAATGGTTTAGATCAAAGCATATTCATGTGTTAGAATGGCCCAGTCACAGTCCAGACCTAAATCCAATTGAGAATCTGTGGTAAGACTTGACAATTGCTGTCAGACGCTCTCCTTCCATTCTGACAGAACTTGAGCTATTGTGCTAAGAAGAATGGGCAAAAATCTCACTCTAGATGTGCAAAACTGGTAGAGACATCCCTAAAAAAAAAAACTTGCAGCTGTAATTGCAGCGAAAGGTGGTTCTACAAAGTATTGACTCCGGGGGCTGAATACAAATGCACGCCACACTTTTCAGATATTTATTTGTAAAAACTTTTGAAAACTATCATTTTCCTTCCACTTCACAATTATGTGCCACTTTGTGTCGGTCTATCACATAAATCCCAATAAAATACATTTACGTTTTTGGCTGTAACATGACAAAATGTGGAAAATTTCAAGGGGTATGAATACATTTTCAAGGCACTATAATGTTACATGCAATGTGTGAAATTAGGCATTTTATAGAATTCCTAATTTCACACATTGCCTGCAAAATAATATTTTAGATATGCGACCGTCAATATCCAGTCAGTTCTTGATTGACCCCTCTCTGGATTTGCAGGTAGATCACAGTCAGCTGATAGAAGATGCCATGTTGACTGAAGGTTCCACAGATGTCTGGGCTGGAGGGGAGGTAAAGGATGGTGGAGAAGATGGGAAAGCATCTGGCCGAACACCACAGAAGGAAAAATCTGGACATGACAAGGCTGAATACTACAATTCTAGGAGAGGAAGAGGTATGTTACCCCTGGTGGGGCTTAGATACAAATTCTGGAAGTGTCACATTGCATGTGGAAACAAATATTGTATATGATGTGAGGAGGTTGCGGTTATCAGTGGATGGTGGGTGCAATGTCAGGCTCCTGCACACACTCAGCATAGCCGTCTGCTCGTACAGGAGGTATGGGCAGACAGTTACTGAAGAGCAGGAAGAGTTGATGAACTATGAGCGTGCTCATAAACATCCTTGCAATTGATGATGTGAATGTACAATATATATGTGTAAAGCGCTGTGTAAATTGACAGCGCTATATAATAACCTGTAATATATAAATAAACTGCAAGCCATTGAGACAGATGGTACTTGTAGTTCATTCATTCGCAGATCTGTGTGAATGAATGACGTGGCTTTGTGGAGGAACTCGGCACAACCACGTATTTTTCAATTGTGACTGCGGATGTGAAGATAGGGTGCAGGGACTCGAAGACAGTAACATTTTACAAACTGTATACGGGTGTAACATGTTACAAAAGGTGAATTTATCATTTAATTTTTGCTAGACCTGTGAAGGTTTTTAGATCCTTAGGTTTCTATTGTGATTTGTGTCCTTACTGAGAAACTTTCACTTCCAATCAGAGCATTTTCTCTCCAGTGGGAAGCCATTTTTTAGTAGTGTGGTCAAGAGTTAGAACTTGTATCAGTGTTTTGTTTCCTGTGCCTTGCTGTCTGAGTGACAACCACTGTTCAATATCTTGTATGGGTGTGTTCTGTCTCTCCAATCTAAGCATTGAAAGTGTGATCTTTCTACCTTACAGTTGTGATGAGATAGCGATAACTCCAATCTTAGTTGAATAACACAGGCAGTGACTCGATCCAGATGACACCTTGTAGATCTTGTGAAGTATATTCCATAAACTGAGAGAATCTTACAACAATGAACATCGGATAGGTCAAAAGATCATAATGTGATCTGCTTCATGACATGAGGCTTGAAGCTGAAATGCACTACTGGGAAAAAGGGTGGGGCTATCTATCCAGCATGACAAAATGCAAAGAAGACTTAAAGGCATATGACACAGGGGTGTCACGGGGACAGAAAGAGAGAGAGATTTTAAAAACCTTCCCTTTTTGGGCAGAAACAAATCTAAAACCTTACAGAAATGTTGACTGTTTTTTTTTTTTGTTTGTTTTTTTTCTACTCTCTTCAAAAGGAAAATAGTTGGATTTAGGCTTAAAGGTTAAGGTCACTTTTCCGAAAAAAAAAATAATAAATGACCATTTTTATTTATTTTTTGCAGGTAAAAAAAATGCATTTATTATTTTATTTTTTTTTTTTGTTGGGGACCTGTAAAGCATTGAACCCACGATCAGCCATCTCCGATAAGAGCAGGCAGTTACACTCTGACAGAAAGCTCATTGAAGTACTTAAAGTGATCAACGGCGCCCTGGTACTTCATTGAGAACTACAACCCCTTTTTATTTTATTAGTTTCTGACATCTAGCAGGGGGAGGAAATCCCTCACTAGCTGTCAAAATGGGAACTCGGGGGAGGGTGCAGGAGCCGGTGCATTTGTAACATGTTACACCCTGAATATGGATGTAACATGTGTTACAAAAGCTGAACCTATCCTTCAAAAGCACCTTCAGGTTGCAAAAGGAACAATAGAAAGTCCTCGCAAAAAAAGAACGAGAGGGCTTTGCTGGGAACACAGGTATTCATCACTTTTGAAAATGTTAAATGTCAAAGACAGTGAGACACTGATGAAGGATGCTGATTCTGCTTTTTTTTTGGGGGTGAGTGAGATGGTGACTTTAAGGAACATCTACCTTTCCAGACATTATATAATGTATCAGACTGATTTTGTTCTTATTCAGAATAATGCTTGAGACATGATCTCCTTTTTCATATTAATGTATGCTCTTATGATTTCTGCCTCCAGTCGGCCGTAATCATCCTGTTGGAGAAGGATCCAGAGGGGGACAGGTGGGCAGTGGTGGGAATGGAGGAGATCGCAGAGGATCAGACAGAGGAACAAACAGTAGTCTAAATGAGCACATTGCTGTTGTACTCATGCGATTGCAAGAGGACATGCAGAATGTTTTGCAGCGGCTGCAGACGTTGGAGGCCCTCACTGCCTCACAGGTGAGATGACTTTCTGCTACATATGAAATCAGATGGTACTACAATGTACAGTTAGGTCCATGTATATTTGGACACAGGTACAATTTCAGTTTTTTTCAGGTATTTACCAAAACATATTCAAGCTGTAGTTATATAATGTATAGGGGCTGAAAGTGCACACTCTCAGGTTTAATTTGAGGGTATGTACATCCAAATTGGAGGAAGGGTTTAGGAATTACAGCTCTTAAGATTAGCCATCCCCCCTTTTTCAAGGGACCAAGTGTGGTATTTGCATTTGGAATCTATTGCTATGAACCTACATCATGCGTTCAGAGGAGCTGTCCATGCAAGTGAAACAGACCATTTTAAGGCTTCAAAAACTAAAGCAATCCATCAGAGAGATAGAGGTACATTCTGAGGAAAGAAGAACGCACTGGTGAGCTCAGCAATATAAAAAGGAATGGACGTCCACAGAAGACAACAGTAATGGATGATCACAGGATCCTCTCTATGGTAAAGAAAAACCCAGTCACAACATCCAGACAAGTGAAGGACACTCTCCAGGAGGTGGGCTTATCATTGTCAAAGTATACAATCAAGAGAAGACTTCACGAGAGCAAATACTGAGGGTTCACCACAAGGTGCAAACCATTCATAAGCCTGAAAAATAGAAAAGCCAGATTAGACTTTGCCAAAAAAATCTAAAAAAGCCAGACCAGTTCTGGAAAAGCATTCTTTGGACGGATGAAACTAAGTTTAATCTGTACCAGAATGACGGGAAGAAAAAAGTGTGGAAAGCACACAATGCCATCTGTAAAACATGGTGGAGGCAGTGTGATGGCATGGGCATGCATGGCTTCCAGCCGGATGAATTCTGCAGTGTTTAGAGATATACTGTCAGCCCAGATTCAGCCAAATGCAGCAAAGTTGATTGGATGGCGCTTCACAGTACACATGGACAATGATCCAAAACACACTGCAAAAGCAGCCCAGGAGTTTTTGAAGGAAAAGAAGTGGAATATTCTGCAATGGCCGAGTCAATCACCTGATCTCAACCCAATCGAGCATGCATTTCACTTGCTGAAGGCAAAACTAAAGGCAGAAATACCCACAAACAAAGAACAACTGAAGACAGCTGCAGTAAGAGCCTGGCAAAGCATCAGAAAGGAGGAAACCCAGTCTTTGGTAATGTCCATGGGTTCCAGACTTCAGGCAGTCATTGCCAGTAAAGGATTCTCAACAAAATATTAAAAATGAACATTTTATTTCTGATTATATTCATTTGTACAATTACATTTGAGCCCCTGAAAATGAAGGGACTGTGTATAAAAATGGTTGCAGTTCCTAAAATTTGTACTTGATATTTATGTTCAACCCCTTGAATTAAAGCTGAAAGTCTGCACTTCAGATCCATTTGGATTGTTTCTTTTAATTTTATTCTGATGGCATTCAGAGCCAAAAGTATGAAAATTGTGCCTGTGTCCAAATATATATGGACCTAACTGTATGTGATTTTATTTATGACATATACAGTATATACACCTACATTGGGTGATGTCAGTTATGTTAAAATGACATGGTCAGATCTTTACCATTCTGCTGAATTGTATGTCTCCCTTTTTCCAAAGGGGGGTCCTTTGTCTAGCAACAGCCTTCAGCTCTTTCTGGAGGGTTCCTTGGCATTCTTCACTCCCTCGGCATCAGAGACTCCGCTCTCTCCTGGCTCTCCTCCTATCTCTCCCAACGCTCCTTCAGCGTTACCTATAATGCTACCACCTCCCCCTTTCTCCCCCTCTCTGTTGGGGTCCCCCAAGGCTCTGTCCTCGAGCCCCTTCTCTTCTCCTCACCATCTACACCTCCTCCCTTGGCAAACTGATACACTCCCACGGCTTCAACTATCACCTCTACGCCGATGACACGCAAATTTACCTCTCCACCCCTCAACTCACCCCTTCAGTCTCTGCCCGTATCACCCACCTACTGAACGACATATCAGACTGGATGTCGCCCCATTTCCTCAAACTGAACCTTTCAAAAACTGAGCTCCTAATTTTCCCCCCAGCCCACGCCCCCACCTCTCCATCACGACCAACAACGCCACCATCAGTCCCACCCCGCAAGCCAAAGTCCTAGGTGTCACTATAGATTCAAACCTGTCCTTCCAACCCCATGTCCAATCGCTAGCAAGCTCATGCAGGCTCCACCTCCGTAATGTCTCCAAAATATGTACGTTCCTAACCCCAGACACTACTAAACAACTCGTTCACTCCCTTATTATCTCACGTCTGGACTACTGCAACTCCCTCCTCACCGGCCTACCCCAACACAGGATATCCCCGCTTCAGTCTATCCTGAACTCAGCGGCCAGACTCATCCACCTTACTAACCGCTCCTCTTCTGCCACCCCCCTCTGTCATTCCCTCCACTGGCTCCCGATTGCTCAACGCATCAAATTCAAACTACTAACACTGATATACAAAGCCATTCATAACGCTGCCCCAAACTACCTTACCGACCTGATACCCAAATACCACCCTACCCGTAATCTTCGCTCCTCACAAGACCTCCTACTTTCTAGCTCCCTGGTCTCCACCTCCCACGCCCGACTGCAGGACTTCTCCAAGACTTCCTCCATCCTCTGGAACTCACTACCCCAATCCATCAGACTGTCACCTACCCTCCTCACCTTTAGACGCACCCTGAAAACCCATCTCTTCAGGGAAGCCTACCCCACCCTCACCTAACTGCCGATCTCCTCCACTCCTCCTACCACTCCATCCCCCACAGCCACTTCCTCCTGTGCCACCATCCCCTCCCTCCTAGATTGTAAGCTCCAAGGAGCAGGGCCCTCGAACCCCTCGTGTATTGTTTTGTTACTGTACTGTCTCATGTACTGTCCCCCACTATAATGTACAGCGCTGAGCAAACCTTTTGGCGCTATATAAATACTGTATAATAATAATAATTCTTAGGCCAGCCAAGTGATGGTATCCTACCAACATTTTCTGGAGCTTCCATGGCTGGCGAACCTCCCAAAGTGCATTCATATAAACTGCCCAAAGCACCTCAACTGTCACCTCTTACTGCAAGGTGCTCTCACAGTACCACACTCCTTGCCCTGTTACCTCTATACCAGCACATCAATATTGCTCTCCCATCATCTGCCACTGGATCTGAAACACTATATCACGGGGAGGTGTCACAGGGCTGCTAGATACTGCAACACCCAGAAGGATTTGTAATGGAGTCAAGCAAAGTTTTAATGTGTATAAACTGCAGCTATAGATTTAATTCTCATCTGTCATCTCTATCTTTTAGGCAAGGTCGATTCAATTTGAATCTAATATTCAACAGCTTCCGAACAAGGTAGGTACTATACATGTGTAATCTCATCTTGCGTGTGTTGGGGTAGATTTAAACATACATCCAAATCTTTCCTCTGAAGCCCGGTCCGCGTTCAGATTGTGCATAAGAGGCTACTGACTGGTGGTGAGGAAGCGATGTGATACCTCCTCACTAGCTATTTTAACCCCATTTTTGCTGACAAACGCACTGTGACCATTTGCATTGCATGTGGTTGCAGGGTGTTTGCGGTGCTTTCCCATTTGCTTCAGTGTGTAGGGTTTGATGGGCTTGCTGCCCGCTGATCCCTTAGTATTGGGTGAACTATGCCGCAGGCATGAAGCATCACGGCCACAGCATGTAAACACCACCGTCTGCTACCTATTGCAGCTTGGGGGGGAGTAGGAGGGTAGTAAAAATGCAGCTCAGCTGCACATTTTTGCCATCCACCCAGCTGCACATCTAAAGGAAGCCTTAGAGTAAACCTTTCATAAGAGAAATAGGCTGCATCAATTTTGATGTAAAAATCCTTTATCAGGTAAAACAGTCCTTTGAAAATGTTTTGTCTCACATTGGAGTTTAGATACAGCAATTCATTGTTCGTAAAGTTTCTGTTTTTCATAGCAGCTATATTTTCCACCACAGAGAAATGTTTAACTTGTTGGCTTGACTAATAACTGTTACTGTTTATTCTCCAGAAGCCTTCATGGTGGCCCTTCGAGATTTCGTCTGGCACCCTGGCATTTGCAATAATCTGGCCATTTGTTGCCCATTGGTTAATTCATTTATATCTGCAAAGGAAGAGGAGGTTTGTAGCAGTTTATTCAATAAAATTCCTATTTGATCATATTTTTTTACTTGGTCTAGAAAATTTGCTACTGTTTTTTTTGCATTGCAAAATTGTGGAACATCTGCTCCTTAACCGGTTCCTGTCTGCCCTATAGCAGATATACTGCTACAGGGTGGCATGGGTGCGCAAAATCGTGTATTTATGTGATTTAGCATTGCCGGGTAGGGGGCATGCACGTGCCATCAGTCACCGAGTCCCGCCTGGTGATTGCCGAGGATCTGCAATGTGGGGGAGAACTGTTAGTAAACAAAACCGATCTCCGTCAGCTCGGTGCAAACTGCCATGCAAAGCAGTGTGCTTACAGTGAAGCACACAGACAGCCCCTAGTAAAACAGCACAGTTAACCCTTCCTGCCCAGTGCCATTAGTACAGTGTCAGTGCTTTTTTTTTTTTTTTTTTTTTTTTTAGCACTGATCACTGTATTGGTGTCACTGGGGATGTCAGTGACACCAAGTCAGTTCCCCCCAGTGTCAGAATGCCGCCGCAGTCCCGCTATAAGTCACTGATCGCCGCCGTTACTAGTAAAAATTAGAAAGAAAAAAAAATCCCAGTATATATACTGCCATTTATAAACGCTATAGCTTTCAATTAATTTACATGTATGAGGATTTCTTTTTTTTTAGCTTTGCAGAATACATTTTGGCTTAAATTTGACAAAATTTGATTGGTTTTTAATTTTTTTACTGGACATGTTTAATAGCAAAAGGTCAAAAATATTTTTTCCTCAAAATTGTTGGTCTTTTTTTTTTTTTTTTTTTTGAATAGTGCAAAAAATAAAAACCGCAGAGGTGATCAAATACCACCAAAAGAAAGCTCAATTTGTGGGCAAAAAGGACTTAATTTCATTTGGGTGCAGCGTTGCATGACTGCGCAATTGTCACTTAAAGTAACGCAGTGCTCTAACACAAAAAATGGCCTGGTCAGAAAGGGTGGTAAATCCTCTGGAGGACAAGTGGTTAAATTATGGTGACCACGTTCTTGCACGGTTATCCAAATTCAGTGTTAACAATTGGGTGTATGAAGGCAACCCATAACAAGGCAAAAGTTAGTAGGTTACTTTGAAGTTAGGTATAGGGACTGTTTTTTAACCTCTCTCATTTTTTTTATTTGCAGGAAGCCTACCTGAGCCCAAACTGGAAGAAGCCTGTGAAGACTCACCTGGGACATCTTGTGATGGTCCCTTGGAGGATGGGGTGTCCTCTTTGCTATATTAAAATTCCTTGCACTATGTGAATGATAACAAAATAAGGACTAATTTTACTAAAGCTTGAATACAGAAAATATTAAGCTGGCAGTAGCATTAGCATAATATGTTCTTTTATCACATTTGAATGGAAACTAAATTATTTTTAAACTTATTGAAAGCATGTACTAGATAACAGAATATATACCAATAAAAAGGTACAAGGAGGGTAGCAGGTCCTAGTTGTGATTTTACCTAAATAAAATCAGACTGTAATGAATAAGAAACCGGAATTTCTTTTCAGAATATTTACTTTAGTAATAAAAATTTACAGAAACATTGCTGTCCCTGGAATATTTTTTTTATGGTCATATGATGGTCTTTTCAAGGCGTAGCCTTACAGGATGGTTGAAGGACGTCTAAACCCAAGTGCAAAAATGTAGCAGATTAGCAGTGATTAGACGCAGTGGCTTCTTTAGTTTGCTTTTTCAGGCTGAGTGCAGAAAATACCTGTTTGACAGAATGCAGTGTGCTTGTCACCTCCTGGATGTAAAGCAAAAACAATCTCTATCTTGTGTAAACCACTAATCCATCAATTTAATGAAGATGGGTAGCCGTGTTTGAGAAGCCCAGTAGTGAAGACCCCATTCTTCTTCATGTAGTAGCTAGCAGCTGAGTAGTCTGTTTGCTAGTTGCCCACCGAGAGTGAATGTGGGACAAGGTGGGAATGGGCCTTTTCAGCCCAAGCCTGAATTTGGTCAGCTTCTTGAAGGGCACTGCAGCTTCTGGGGCCGTGCCAATGATTGACAGTAAGATACAGCTGTGGAGTTGTCTGATGGCACCCTCGTTGGTCACAACTAACCACAAAGCCCCAAGGTACAGACACGTTCTCAGGGCAAAGACCACTAGGTATGAATTCCCCACTTCTCCCATACCCACTCCTCCCATGAAGAGGGTCTTCAGGGATTGGAATTGCCATTGACCTGAACCTGTAGAGCACTCTGCAACTAACTACACTGGGGTTGATATACTAAAGGTAAATAGGCTGTGCACTTCAAGTGCAGTTGCTCTAGATCTGAGGGGAACATCCAAGGAAAATTATAAAAACGTATTTTGCTTGCACATGATTGGGATGAAAGAAATCAGCAGCGCTTTGCCTAATTTCAGAGCTTCCTCTTGGATAAAAAGCAACTGCACTTGCAGTGCACAGTATATTTACCTTTTAGTAAATCAGCAGTGTTGTACTGCTGTACTTAATAGTAAGAGACAAATGAAGTGCCCAGTGATTGGAGACGATGTACAGGCCAGCCCTGCATTCTCCAAGCATTGGGTTCCCTGGGACACTGAGGTGCAACTGATCCAGAAACTGCAGTGCTATTGCCACAATGGCATTGATACAGCCAGGGGGAGAAATAATTTTTCCATATGAAGAACCAAAGTCTTTAAAAGGATAAGTTCACCTTTTGGACAAAGTCAAGCAGATATTTTGACAGGAAGCTTGAATTAACTACCACGGTGCTGCACATCGCTGTGGTAGTTCATTGAAAACTACACGTTGACAACTGCTAAGGCTGCTGGGACTTGTAGTTGCTCATTCACAGAACACTGCTTTCAAATTTGACAGTTACAGTCAAGGTATTTGTCAGGGAAAGTTCTCCCCGTATTATCTGTCAGAGGGAGAGGGGGGGCGGCAGGTGCAACTGCAGCTATGGGAATATGTTCCACCCTAAAAACTGGTGGAACGTTCCAAAGGTAAACTTATCCTTTAAGGGAGATCTATATCTATAAGTTTTATACACATACAGTATATACACTGCTCAAACAAATTAAAGGAACAATTTTTAATCAGAGTATAGCATCAAGTCAATTAAACTCCTGGGATATTGATCAGGTCAGTTAAGTAGCAGAGGGGGTTGTTAATCAGTTTCAGCTGCTTTGGTGTTAATGAAATTAAAAAGTGCACTAGATGAGCAACAATGAGACGACCCCCAAAACAGGAATGGTTTTACAGGTGGTAAAGCCACTGACACTAGTTTTGCATTTGGCAAGGATCAGTGTCACTACTGGTAGCATGAGGCGATGCCTGGAATCTATAGAGGTTGCACAGGCAGATCACCTCCTCCAGGATGGCATATCAACGCGTGCTATTGCCAGAAGGTTTGCGGTGTCTCCCAGCACAATCTCAGAGCATGAAGGAGATTCCAGGAGACAGGCAGTTACTCTAGGAGAGCTGGACAGGGCTATAGAAGGTCCTTAACCCATCAGCAGGACTGGTATCTGCTCCTTTGTGCAAGGAGGAACATAAGCACTGCCAGAGCCCTACAAAATGACCTCCAGCAGTCCTCTGGTGTGAATGTCTCTGACCAAACAATCAGAAACTGACTTCATGAGGGTGGGCTGAGAGCCCGATGTCCTTGTGCTCACTGCCTGGCACCATAGAGCTTGATTGGCAATTGGCAGGTCCGCCACTGGCACCCTGTGCTTTTCACATGAGAGCAGGTTCACCCTGTGCACATGTGACAGACATGAAAGGGTCTGGAGAAGCCATGGAGGACGTTCTGCTGCCTGTAACATCATTCAGTATGACTGTGTTGGTGGTGGGTCAGTGATGGTCTCGGTAAGCATGTCCATGGAGGGATGCACAGATCGCTGCAGGCTACACAATGGCACCCTGACTGCCATTAGGTATCGGGGATGAAATCCTTGGACCCATTGTCAGACTACATGCTGGAGCAGGGGGTCCTGGGTTCCTCCTGCTGCATGGCAATGCCCAGCCTCATATGGCAAGAGTATACAGGCAGTTCCTGGAGGATGAAGGAATTGATACCATTGAATGGCACACTCACCTGACCTAAATCCAATAGATCACCTCTAGGATACCATGTTTCGTTCCATCAGATGCCTCCAGGTAGCACCTCAGGACTGTCCAGGAGCTTAGTGATGTCCTGGTCCAGACCTGGAAGGAAATCTCCCCCAGGACACTATCCAGCTCATTAGGCCCATGCCTCGACATTGTCAGGCATGTATACAAGCACGTGGGGGTACAAACTACTGAGTACCATTTTGAGTTGCTACAATGAAATTTCATCAAAATAGACTAGCCTGCTGCATCTTTTTTTTTTTTTTTTTTTCACTTTGATTTTCAGGATGTCTTTGATTGAAATGAAAATTAACCTATAGAGGACTGAATTCAAATCAAACAATGGGGCACACTTATATTCCTAACACATTACCCAGTCCATATCAGTATAGATATGCAGCATGAGATTTTTCCCTGTTGAGATCTGATCTGTTTTCAAAGTGTTTATTTTTTTTTTTTTCTGAGCAGTGTATATTTGTGTTGTTTTAACTCACTTAGTAAAATTCTTCCCTTCCTTTCCAAGCAAGCTCCCCAACTCAACCACCCCCCCTGCCAATGCTGCTAGAAGAAGACTGATCTATGATTGATAGCTCTGATCTCTGGTAAGAGGGACTGCTCCAGAGACCAGTGCTACATTCACCACACAAAAAGAAAAAAAAAAAAAAAATATATAATCATGGATCCTTTAGTGCTGTGTCTCCTATTAGTGGCTATACACAAGCATAGCCCGGCCTATGGGTGACACGGCAGTGCGTGGACTTTCAGTTTTATGAAAAAATAATTAGCGCCATCTGGTTGTGTCATACAAGGGACCAACCCAACATTGCTAATTAAAATAAAAGTGCAGCGCTAGAAAATATATAAAATGTGACAAGATATAAAAGTGATTAGAGAAAGTCCCAACAACGGTGACCTAGGGTAACAATGCACACTAACCAGAAGTGCACATTAAAAGTACAGTGTAGGAAGGATGGAGTTCATAGAGTAGTCATCAGCATGGGAAGGGTAGATGAATTCCCTTGGTCAGTGAAGGTCAACATGATGGTACAGAGCTGGGCAGAAGAAATCGACTAGATGGTAGAAAACGATCGCTGCTCCACCAAAAAAAGCATTGCTCCTCCACTGTGCACAAACGATATCTGGGAGAAAAGGTGCTCCCCACAGGGGATCAAGAAAAAATGCCCATAGTGAAGTAAAGTTTAAAATGTATTTATTAAAATAGGCAGGATGCATCCAGTACAAGTGGCAAAACAAAAGACAGACAGGACTAACCGTCCTGTTGGATGTAGTGGCCGCCGGAGCTCCACGTTGCTCCGACGGCGTGACGTCAAGGAGCCTACACAGTAAACTTTACTTCACTATGGGCATTTTTTCTTGATCCCCTGTGGGGAGCACCTTTTCTCCCAGATATCGTTTGTGCACAGTGGAGGAGCAGTGCTTTTTTGGTGGAGCAGCGATCGTTTTCTACCATCTAGTGGATTTCTTCTGCCCAGCTCTGTACCATCGTGTGGACCTTCTCTGACCAAGGGAATACATCTACCCTTCCCATGCTGATGACTACTCTATGAACTCCATCCTTCCTACACTGCACTTTTAATGTGCACTTCTGGTTAGTGTGCATTGTTACCCTAGGTCACCGTTGTTGGGACTTTCTCTGATCACTTTTATATATCAAGTCACATTTATATATTTTCTAGCGCTGCACTTTTATTTTCATGTGAGGATTTTTTTTGTTATCCTGTGTGCCTTAGCTGCTTGTACATTGAAAGAGCTCACTTATTATTCTCTGTTTTATACAACATTGCTAATTGTTTAGGCATAAAAGTGAAAGCTCACACAGCTGTGTACGAGTAAATGCAGCTCGGAGTGATCTGTCACTATTATGAACCAGCAGTACTGCTTGTTAGTTCACACTGGTAATAGAGCACTCAGGACACAGCTCAGTGTAATGTATCCATGACTGCTTGTACACATAGTGCCATATCTCTGCGGGTAATTTTATTATGAATTAACAAGCAGCACCAATTAATTCATAAGTGACAGATCACTCAGCTTAGAGAGGGTGCTGGTTTTACCCCCCCCA